GCGACGTGTTCTTGTCGTGCTTGGCTGAAGATCTGTTTAGCCGACTTGTATCCCCCCGATCGGAGACTTGCCCCAATCGCGTTCACCAGCCGAACCGATAACGGGAGGGGGTCGAGGTCCCAAGCGTCGGCCAGGGTCGTCCAGAGTCTCCACCTGGAGTCTCGGGATCTTTGCGTCGTCATCGCGTAGGTATTGATGTCGAGATCCTCCAAAGATTGTTTACGTGACTCGGGTTTCGCTGCTTCGAGTGCTTTGGCTAATGATCCTCGGGTAGATGGTTGACTTCGGGGAAGGTCTCTTCTCCGCACCGGCACGACTTCGCGTGGCATCGGTCTGCGGCCAAGTGCCGACAACAGTCGGTCGAGGTCAAGTCTGCTGGGTGCAATCTCAACGAGGACATTCTCGGAGGTCCCTCGGAGTTGATCGGGTGTCGTAATCCCGCGTTTGGCTAGATCGGGGGCTATCGATGTAAGGTCGTGTGCTCGTAACAGAGCAAGTACATCTGAGAAGGACATCGGGCGCCTCGGGCCATGTGCGGGGGCTCCTACTCTAAACGTCTACGGGTTCGGACCAGAACATCCACCGAACTGTGGGAAGTGAGTCATGGTGATGCTGTTGTCAAAGCACTTGCGGATGCTGGCACCTCTCGAGGTCGGCAATGTCTTCTTTTCTTCGAGGGTGTATCGTGTCGGGCTCTGGCTTTAAGCCAGATTCGATGAGTCGGGTGTATTGCCAATCGAGCCGCGTCCCTTCCGGAGTCGCACGTCGCCGAGGCGGAAAGCGATACCAAAGAGGACGGGTCGTTGTCTAGGCACCGATCGGGGTGCCGAGGACTCGAGTTCCTCTTGCGTGTCCGATGATCGGGTCTCAGAGCACTAACATCGCCGTGGCGGAATAGTGTCTGTATCCCTCGGGATCGCGGGGCTTCAATAGGCGCTGCTCGCCTGTGCATCCCGTCGGCGTCCTTTGAGCAACTCCAAGTGGTCGGTGTCGACCTCGGTGAACGAGAAGTCGCCGACCATATACTGTCCCAGGCGCAATCGCGTGTAGGCCAAGCTCATGAATCGATTGTCGCCGCCAGATGGTGGCGAGCTCGGCGTCTGATGAGTTAGGAAACTGTCGACGTAGGGATGCCATCGCGGTCTTTTCGGAAGCTCGCTTAAAGGCGATTACCTCGAGGGCTCCCTGGGTGTGTTGATCGTCGTATAGTCTTCGTTGCATTTTGAGAGCACGGCCCGCATCGGTGTCTGGGTCAACACCCTCCAAGTATCGCGCGGCCGGCAGAACTGCCCCGGAGCTAGTCGCGGGTGCTTGGGAGAACTGCTCGATTGGATCGGGTGCAGTCGTGGGAACCTCGGGAAACTGTTCAATCGGATCAATGTCCATCGAGGTCTGACGGTGGCTGGCCATCGCGTCGGGTGGGTCGGGAGGTTCGGGAGTACAAACAGGGCTTGAGAGGTCGAAGTCTACGGAAGCCAAGCAATCTCCAAGGAGAGAGCAGGCCCCACTACAACTAGTAGAGCCTGTGGTACACACAAGTAGTTGTACTGGGCAATGGGCTTCACTTCTTGTTCTCGTGTGGGCATAGCGAGAGTCGAGGTAGACTATCGGGTAGAGTGGGACACGTCGCCGAGGCGGAATTCCCCCCTAGAGCCCGAAATCGAGGTGACACCGGACACTCCCGTGCGTCGCCGAGGCGGAAACGGGGTAACCATGTGAGACCGGTGGGCTTCGGGAGCGTCTAGTTGAAAGATCGAGAGCCTTCTCGAAATCGTAGGATGAAGGCTGGTGGCTCTGCGGCGATGATGGGTCGCATTCTCTCGTGTTGGGCGAAAGCACTCCGCATCGCCGGAGCTAGCATGTTAGAAGTACACGAGATGATCGCAGATGCTTGTTCGCGAAAGAAGGTCGTCATCGGCTCGAAGTTCGGCATCTGTGCCGCAAACAGGTTGAGGTTGTGGGCTGTGTGGCACCACATTCGAAGTCGGTGCATGCGGTACTCCACCGATGTATGACTCAAGTCGGAGAGGGACGCCGTCATGCTATGCCAGACCATCGAGTAGATCAGTGTAGTCCGGGGGTCGACGAAGTTGTTCGGGACACCCAGGAACAAGACCCTCTCCTGGAGAGTGTCGTCCTGTGGGGTATGAATCGGGAGGTCGATGTACAGCCCAAACTGTGTCAGATAGCTCCCGAAGGTCGGGCATCGGAGAACCTGTTCGAGGTAAATGACGCCGTCGTATGTGATTTCCCATGGGGAATCGAAGGCAAAGGACGAGTACGGGTGGTTGCCTGGAGGAAGCATCGCGACATTGTGTCCGCCCACCGGTGTCATCGCCTGTAAGTTCGGGGACATCATCGGGAAGTTGTCGAAGTGTCTCAAAGTCTGGAATCCGAACACAGGTTCGTGTGATGCCGATGGATTGGATCGGACATCGTCGATCCACATCCTGCCCTTGTCAACCACCTGTGTGTCGAGCCACTGTACTCGGAATCTCTCGAGGCAGGACTGTCGAGGTGGCTGTGGCTGAATCGCGGTCGGTACACCCGTGTATGGACTCTGCATTGATGTCGCGACCGTCGAGGAGGAGGCAGCTCCAGCCTGGGTCGTGTTCGGTGTCAGGACCTGTCTAGGGTCTGGTCGTGACAGGTCCACAGCTGGGTGGACCGTAAACCTCGGAGGAACCACTTTGGGCATAGCCTTCGTCTGTGCCCCCACAATGGTCGTGGTAGTCGGTGTGCCGAAGGCTGGGTTGATCCACTCGGAGTCACTCGGGTTGTTGGTCGTATTAGTTGTGGCTCGGTCTGTCGGCTGTGTTACCTGGGTACTCATCGGAGTCGTGGTCGGAGGTGTAGCCGGAGCTGCCATCGGGGGAGTCGGTGGTTCCGTGGTCGTCCGGATGCCAAGGATCCGGGGACACCGGTCGAGTCTGTTGTGTGGTAGTATTAGGTGTTGCCGTCGGAGTCGGAGCCGGGGTAGAGGCTGCGATCTCATCCGGGACCTCGACGATTACCGGCGTGTTGTCGAGCCATCGTTTAGCCGGTGATTGCGATCGTCGAGGGAATCTCGCCGGTGACAATGGTCGATTTGAACCGCGAGCTGCTCCATCGCCGGGGCGGAAGGCAGCTCGGGTAGATCGACCGAAGCTAGGGGCATCGGAGTCTGTGTCCGTGCCCAGCTGGAAGAATGGTCGCCTCGGCGCAGTGCTCGGAGGTGCTGTCGAAGGTGCCGCCGATGGTGTTGGGTTCGTAGGAGCAGTCGACGGTGTAGCTGCCGGAGGGAATCGCGATCCCGAGGAGGGGAAAATATTCCCTCGTGGTGTGATCGGAGGCTGTCCCCATGTCGCTGGGGGTCGAGAGTCATCGCGTGCTCGTCGGGGAGATCGTCCTCGATGATTGCCCTCTGCCATATCTTGTCGGAGTCTGGCCGCAGCGTCGGATTTGTCCCATGCTTCGAAGTCGTAGTACTTGGAGAAGTTGGTGCCGAAGTTGAATTTGCGCATCTCGGTGTGGCGAAAGGTAGCCATCGTGTCCATGATCCACTCCTTTGCCTGTTCTCGAGTCACTTGCTCGAGGAAGGCACCTCGTGATGAGTAGTGGTACGGAGGCTCACCGCGTCGGAGTTGTCGTTGCAGGACAACAGCTCGTCGCATGGCATCATCGAAAGTAAGTCCGTGTTGGTTCCAACATGTGTTGTGGTACTCGCAGCATCCCTGGAACCATTTATGGCAGATTAGATTAGGCACCACCCATTTCTTGTTCAGGAAGTCGGGGTGTAGGTGCACACAGTTCTGCATGTTGCAGTTCTTGTTATCGAGGATTCGGGGGCAAATCTGTCGTTTGATCGAGGACAGAGGTACTCGGGCTTCGTCGTGGACTCTTTCGGGGAACTCAGCGAGCATAGAACTCGGCACAGGTGCAGTGAAATTCTGCGTCGAGCCCTCGCAAAGAAAATCGAACCAAGAGTCAGATCGAGGGACTGCCATGGCTTCGAAGTAACTAATCCAAGTCGATGGATGTCGTGTTAGAGGGCTTGAGGCGCCCTTCGAAGTTTCTCTTTCGAGCTGTAGAGGCAGCGGGTTCGGGATTATGAAGTTCGATGCCAAAATCATCACGAAAAATGTCTGCCAAATGCTGATTACGCAACTCTGTCTCGTGTACAAGGAGAGCAGCATCAGTCTCCGCTGGAAGGGGTGCATGATCGGAGTCAGGGTGTAGGGAAGCCTCGACGATCTCGAAGGGCACCGTCAGCGGCTCCGCGGACTCGTCGCGGTTGGTAATGTGCAGGTACAGGAAGGCCTCGAGATTGGGCGGCTTCAACAAAGTCGCCGCCAAATTGACAATGTCGTTCGCCGTCTGACAATAGGCGATCTGGTCGATGGCCTTCCGTATTTGTCGGGATTGTCGTTTGTTCCAGGCTCCCCACGTCACATCCTCGGGTTTCTCGATTTGAAAATCTTCGAGAACTTGCTCGCGGCTGAATTCCTCGAGCGATTCCTTCAAACTGTCAACAACTGACAGAGAAGCCGTAGTGCTCGAAGTACTGGCCGCCAGCAGCGGTCGTAGTAGAACTCGGGGTACTGGCCGCCCGGAGCGGCTATGACCGAGGAGTGATCCGAGGGGACTGAAACAAAATTTCTCTCAAGCTGGAACAGCTTTTCGCCAAAATGGCCACGGAATATACAATCGTTCGAATTGAATCGGTGAGTTAATCCCCTGACCGATTCGGTGATCAAGTGAGATAATATGTTGTCACTTCGCACAAACAAGTGTGTGCTACACAGAAAAGCTGATGGTCATGCATGTCAATCCCAGCAGCAATCAGCGATTGCACAAATCACCCTTTTTGCTGTGACAATCTTAAAACGTTTCTTAGTGCATTTGCTTTTCCAGCCTTGTCTAAACTGAACCTCAAACTTCTGAACTGACCTGGTCTAAACCCCACAACCACCGAAAACACCGCCGCACTCCGAGCTCCGGAAGCCAACGGGTCGGGTGGCGATGAGCAGTACGGACGGAAGGCCGGCCGCGAAGGCACGCACGATGTTCGCGACGGTGAACCTGGGTGTGTTGCGTTCTATAGTCTTGTTACGGAACTTTGCCAACCGCTTTTGGGGCTGTAAGATGTCATGGCTTTGGAGGGCTCGGTGAAGCTGGAAGTTGAAATCAGGGCCTCAGGGTACATTTTTTAACCCGGCGAGGCGTGACTAGCTCGCACCTGAGACCTGAGGGTAGGATGAGACTTTGGGGCTTGGACATAACCAGATATTGATTGAGGTTGTCACAGTTTAGAGTGGTGGTACTGTGTCTTCGCTACACTGACCATGTCGTCATACAGCTGAAAGCTCGTCCATGTTCACAGAGCTTTAGGCTTTGGCTCGAGGTTTTGGGTAGCATGGCGACGTTGAGGGTTTAGGGGTGACGAGCCTGGAACAAGATGCCATGACAAAAATCACAAAAGAACAGAAGCCATACTTGGAGGATCAAGTGATGTAGCTCGAATCCTATAAGCGGGGCCTCGCAGTGCCGTATCTGAGGCCTGACTCACAAGCTTTCTTTGCAAAATCCGCGACGGAGCGCCTTCATGTGGTCTATCACCCTGCGCTCAGACCCTCAAGCATGAATGCGTACCGAATCCAAAGCCCTCGCTGAGCTGAGTGGCCAATCCCTCCAGCGACCGATCTTCCAAAAGCCGTAGAACTCTGCGAACTCAAGGAGAAGGTCCTGGGTACATGCGTGGGCTTCGTATCGAAGAACGGCGCTTTTGTCCGAGGGATACTCCTCAATGAATGGATATTGGCGTGATACCGAGGCCCTAACCCCTCATGGTGTCTATTGAACTCCTTCGATTTGCTTGCAGCTCTGATTCCCAAGTTTGTGCGCTAAGCCAAAAAGAGGTTGAAAACGCACAGTGACCAGGCCTTGAGCCTTAAGCTGAAGGTTGGGGTCAGGGTTTGCCCTGAACCTGAAGGGACCGACCGTCTCGAATGCACCTGCAAACTTCCAAACTCAGCAAACTCAACATCCCAGAGCAAGAAGGCCAGTTCCGGGAAAGACTGGCGAGCCCCGATTGGTATGTATGGAGGATTATGGAGGCTTTGCCGCCGATGTGACAGATCTGACGCGTGCCAAAGACAAAAAAACGCCACGACTTGCAGTCGGGGTGCCACCAGAGCCTTGCACGCGATCCAGGTGTAGGCGACCCATGAGGCCTGAGGACGGGCGGAAGATGAGGAGGGTGAGGAAAAAATGCGGCTCGCAGAATTTGTGGCTTGGGATAGTTTTTCTTACGGTGCTGGCACAAGGCTTGCTTTAGGTTTCTGTAATTTCCTTTCCGGGCAGTGGCTTTAACATGGCTATCGGAGTGTGGATGCCGGGCTTAGGGCCTTGAGTTCGAAGTTTCACTAAAGAGAGGAGCGTTAAATCCAACCGGCGATGCCTTGCTTGGGAAAGCCTGCAAATCGCGGCATCGCGGGCGCTTGCTTTCCGGATTTGGGATTTAAAGTCTAAAGTCAGGGTCTCGGCGGTCTCGGGCCAGACACCGGCTTTTGGACTTATCCGTGGCCCGAGTCAGTAGGAAGAAGAAGGCTTAGTGGAACTGGGAGCCGGGGTATCAGTGGGTAACGGATTGAAATATTGCTACGACCCAACCTTCTAGGTCCACCGCAACATCCTGCATATAACCTACGCTACGCATAGGGTCCCATAGGGTTCGCAATTTTGTGTATAGCTGTCGTCATGCTGGCCTGCGTCGCTGTCGGGTGCATCATCATTGTCACAGTCATAGCGTCGTAATGAGTGTTAGCAAGCTATCGCGTCATATTCCAGAGCACAGCCGGCACTCAATCCCCACAGAATCCCCCCCAAGGCCCCAAGTAAGGGGGACCTCTCCCAGCTGAGCTCCTTGCCTCCGAAATCTCGTCTGTGTAGCGCTGCATTTGGCTGAGATTGCTATGGCTGCCCCCGAAGGTGCCTGCACCACAAGACTTCAAGATGTATACGTTATCTGGGGTTATAAGGGTTGTACGTCGGGGTATGGGAGGCTTTCTGGAGCATGAGTGCTTCGGAATAGGTCCATTGCCTCTGATGAGTGTAGGCCGGTGTAGGGATGCAGCTAGGTCTAAACGTCTTTAACCTAGCCCTGTGACGACCCCATCAACTCGATATGCACACTGGGCACGAAAACTCCAAGTCCTATGCCCTACTCCCCGAAATAATACCAGCAGCGGTACAACTTGTAACTCAAAAATGCAAGCGATAGTCGAAGAGATAGTGACGTCCAGACTTCTGCCTGAAGGATTCCGAGTTCGGACCTGGAGAGGTTCCACTTGCGGGGCTGGGCTTGTTTCCTGAAAGCTGCTGGCACTTTTGTACAGCTTTACCCACAGAGAGCCCACTGCACTGTAACCAGTACGAGGTCTCAAGTCGGATAATTTAAAGAATATTCCTTCAGCATTCGTTTTCGCTCGCTTGATTAGGGGCTTGGGGCCGGTGGGCTCCTGGAGTTTTGTCTTTCGGATTTCTGGCCTTTGAGGCAGAACCCGAATCTGGATACAGTAGCCAAAGCGCAAGATACGAGCGCAACTCACGGACGTGTGGCCGTCAAGGTGATGAATGTCGATCTGAGGCCACTGTTTGTTCAAGCGCCAGCTGGGATGTCTTGGACTTGGCAGAGGCGGTGGGCCGCGATGACTTTGGCATGGATCCATGATGTCGGCAGCCTCGAACCAACTGTAGTCAAACACTTTCCATAACAGCGGAGGCCGCCAGCCGTCCAACAAGCCAGGAAACTGGGGCTCCGTCACGGCTGCTGTCCTTGCGGCTCCATTGAATAGCATGCCAGGGTGAAGAAGCAACTGATGTTGATGAGGATGCTTCAACATTCATGACGACTAAAAAAAGTTTGGAAACTCGACAGCAGCCATCAACTCCGAAAAAGCAACTGTTCAGTTGGTGCTTACTGCACACAAAACTAACACCTTTGATTGCACGATCAAGTTGCTAATCGGTTTTTATCTCCCTGTCAAACAAAAGCCTGAATTCCGACATTCCACAAGCTCTAAGCCCCTCTTCGCCCCCACGGGCGTTTTCAGAAGATCCTCCCGCCTGCGCCGGTTCCTCTGATGAGCCGGCCTTGAACTCCGCTAGGTTTGCGGCTCAGGCTTCAGGGTCAGCCCGAGGGCGGCTCGGGGAATCCGGGGATGGATAGCTAGTGTCGTCTGCACCAAAAACGTGCATTTAAGTTATGCCAACCACTCCCTAGCTCACTGAACTTCTGGTACCCAAAACCTGCAGAACCAAGTAGTAGTCTTGAGAGTGCCGCTTCCCGTCAAGCTCCAAGATTGGGGAAATAATCAGTTTGTGCGTTATGTTTGATTCCTCTGTGATGTGAGGTTGTGGTTTGCCGTAAGCCGGTCTTCAATACCGTGATTTGGACTACTTGCTGTGATTCGGCTGTAGTTCGATGGTAGCTTGGGATGTGCCTACACACAACTTGCCAATCACCGCCAAATCACAGAGGAATCAGAGACTTGTTCTGAAGCCCTAACAGTTGCCGGACCTGAAAACTCAATCCTGGTCCAGTCTATGGCACGCAAGAAACGCCCCGAAGTCCACGCCACAACGACGACGACTCGTACCACCACAACAGCTACAAATAACTAGCACCAAGTACTACTACTGCCACTAGTACTTCAACTTCTAGCTTCTAGCTATTACCTTCAAACTTCAACACTTCTACACTTCTGCCTTCTACCTTCTACACTTTTGTTTTCCACCTTCTACTTTCCACCTTCTACCCTTGATCTTCTACCTTCTAGGTTCTACGTTCTACGAGGCACGTGCTACGTGCTGCGTCCTAGTTCCTAGTTCTAGTTCTACTTCTACTGCTACTACTGATACCACCACTGCGACGACGACTAACTGCTACCACTGCCACCACCACCATCACCACGACTACGACTCGCGACGAAAACTACTACTACACTACGACGACGACGACGACGGCGGCGGCTGCCACTGCCACTGCTACTCTACGACTACGACTGCGATGACTACGACTACGACTACGACCACGACCACGACCACGACTACGACGACTACTACTACTACTACCACCACCACGACTAACACTACCACTGGAACTACTGCTAATACTATTCCTCCTCCTGCTGCTGCTGCGCGGCTACTCTCTGTGCTCCTACCGTCATCGCAGCTGCTGCTGCTGCTGCTGCTGCTGCTGCTGCTGCTGCTGCTGCTGCTGCTGCTGCTGTTTGTAGTGCTGTAGGCACCGCTGCTGCAACTTCTCCTCCTGCAAGTATATAGGGTCCTACTACAGAAACCAGCATTATGTTCACAACCCGTCCCGGCGCCGCAATAAGATTATCCTCCTCATCCTCAATCCTCATCCTCCTCCTCATCTCCATCTCATGCTCATCCTCAGCATCAACAACGTCATCACCAATGGCATCATGATCATGGTCATGATTCATGATGTTGATGATCACAATCAGGATCGCTGTCACCATCATCCTAGTGGCGGTGCAGGAGGTGGTGATCACAGTTCTGATGGACGTATTCTTGATGATGCTGCAGATTTCTGCATTCCAAGATGCGTTCGGTCTCAGCATCGAGGTCGGACCCAGTGTTGGTGCGGATGATTCCCTGGCGGCCGGGAGCATCGCGCCGAAGTTCCGAAAACGTCTGCTTTGAAAACCCGAATTGAAGCTCTGCAGAGCAAGCGGGCTTCGAAAGCTCTGTGCAGTCACAGTTGCAAAATGCAAGACGCGATCCAGTTCTCGCGAATCTTGCAGGTTTGGTTTATCAACTTTTGAATCAGCAGGAGTGTCGAGTTTTCAGTTCTCGTTGGGAGGGAGGACTGGCTGATTCTGTATGGGCCTCCGGGAGACATGGCATGTTTTCCTGAACGGGACACTCTTGACATGTGCTGAACTTCAAAACATCCTGCATTCAAGAAGATGCTGCTTTGGAACATACCTCCACGGCTGTTTCAACATCCACGAGGCGAGAGTATCCAACGGCACACCGAAGCGTAACACCAACGGACGAAGGAGCTAATGCCGCGGCCATCAAGTGCGCACAGTTGCAATCTAAGCATGAACTTGATTGTTGCTAGTTCCGCCAGTATACAACTACGGCGAGACCCGTACGACACACCAATTACAAACGACTCTACATCCCTCTACATCCTCTCGACATGTCAGGCACCGCGAGCACAAAGTGCCGCAAAGCATCCCCTGCAGAAACCCACAATCAGTATTGTAGGGCTTTGCGGGTGTTCGTGTTGCCCGCATTGCCGAAGGCTTTCCACTTCTCCCGAAAGCACGAAAGCAAAACAGGAACGAGTGCCAGATGAGGATTTTCTACCCAAGCAGCGCGATCCTTGTGGACCCCCTGAGAACCCCCCCCCTCCTCGCCCCACTTTGCATGCTTCACTTTTGCACCATGCCTGTCACCAAACCAAACCAGCACCAAGGTATGGCCCCAGCCCTACAGGGATCTTTAGAACAAGCCCCAGCCTCCTCTGCGAGAAGCAGCGCCAAGCTCCAAAAGCTTAAGAGAACCTGCACGGGCGAACCCAATCATGTCGCGCTGTTCATGTATATTTTTGGGAGTTTCCTTAACCTTTTTTGCCAGGGTAGCCAGGCTAGACCCCACAAAGTGAACAGCCACAAACACTGGGAAGGCCGTCCGAATTTCCCGGCGGGCGCGGCACCGACGTGAGGTCGATCTTGGCCGCTGCCTTCCAGAAGAGGTGCTTCACCATCGCCTGGGAACCACGGACTTACGATTTAGGGTTCGGTTTTCTTAGTTCAGACTTTAGTGTAGCCTTCAGATGCACTACGAGCACCACTTGGGGACTGGATACTATGAAATCCCTAACTCACAACTCAAAACCTAATTGGAAGGCCATATGTTTTTTTTAGCTTCAGGATTAGGATTCCCCGCTATGCTCCCTGTTGTTGGCAATCCAACATCTACTAGGACTGAGACCCTGTTTGCTGAGACACCTGTGAATGCCCTTAGCCCAGTCCCAGCGGCGTGGATGGTGTCATCCTCATAAAGCTGCAGGAAATCTGCATTCTTGGGGTCGACCAGGGCAGCGAACCTTTCACTTCTGCTTCGGCTCTGAGACGTGGGACTTCGAGTCTTGAGATTTCGCGTTCCGGGGGTGGGCCTCCTGCAGTTCTTAGCTTTATGGTTGAAAGGTCTAGAGATGTATGTCTTTTACGATCGAGTGGAATCGCCATCCGAGTTTGAGGGGTGCGCTTGGAGAGAAGGGCTTACACTTCCATCCGCGAACCCGTACTGCTTGAACCCTGTGCTCTGCATCCCGAACCCAAGCCACTGTTTCCTGAACCCCGCCTCTACGGAAGCAGTGTTTAGTTGAGGCTGCATCCTTGATTCCCACCATACATCCCCCTCCAGGTCCATCCACCGAGCCACGGATATTCCAACTATCTTTTCGGGTTCTGTGTTAACTTGAATGTACGAAGGAACCCGCCTTATCATTGCCTCTCTTTCAGACCCCTGTATTACACTGTCACCCAGCGCTTGACTCAGATCTCACTCACAAACAATCCCAAAACCAACCCCTTTGCCCCACAGTCCGTGACGGCCATCAACCTGAGATTCCGATCCGGCTTATGACGCTATATGTAAGCTAAATAGTACACTTACTAGAACATAGCCCAGAGAGAAGACTCGGAACCAGACCCACTCAACACTCAGAAAGATGACGTAAACTTCAGCCATATGCAAGCACACGCTAGACCGCAGATCTGCAGCCCCAAATCCCACACCAAAGAATCACTGGACTGAAAAGGCAGGCTCCTCAGGGGGTGCGAGCAAGCCCTGATCCTGCAAATCCCTTCAGGGTCACTGAGGACCGAACACTTCTGGGCAGATCAGGTCCTTGGAGAAGCTTACTCACTTGCTCGCCGGTTTGAGAGTTGGTGTTGGAGCTCTAATGTCTGTCTACATGATTTTCGACTGTCAGGTTTTTGGGGAGTAGTCTCAGGGTGTATGACCCGATGACCGCTTTCAACAAGCGCATGGGTAGACTGGCACAGTACAGGGATCGATGCTTTTGCTGCTGTGCCAGCATCATTAACTTTCTGCAGGAAATCAAAGGGATCACTTCGGTCCGCTTGGGCCCTGCATGCTGACGAGCGGTCAAGTGTTGAGGCGAGTTGTTCTGTGTTTTATGCTTGTGGGGGGTAGCAAACGAACAAAGGGGGAAACCAGGGCGTTCTGGAGGATTCTGTTGTCGAAGCGCACTGCGATTCAGGTTTCAACTAGTTTCAGCAACAGATTCCGGGTTCAAGTTCCAGTTTCCCAACCTCAGTGTAAGGCTTCAGATCCACTGTTAAGGAGAGTGGTCTCCCGTTCTGCATGCTTCTGCGAAGGCCTAGGTTTCTTACAGGCTGAGCAACAACAACGTGGAATTCGCGAGCGGTGAATAGCAACCAATAGGAAAGACGTCCGGATTTGACAGGGTCGCTGCTATAATGACTTCGCATATTGTAGTGGCGAGCGGCTGCAATAAGGCATACTCGGATCTCCGCATCAATGATCGGCTTGCCTGATGGGCATGTCTCGTAGATGGGGACGCATGTAGCCTAAACCTTTTGGGGTCTACATCACATCATGTAGCCTGATAGAGCGGGAACACCCTTCACGCAGACCCTCAACTGCTTGAAGCCTGTGACTTTCAACGAGGAATCCTTCTTGCAGTTACAGTGACAGTCACCACCAGGGACCAGTTTCGGCAGATTGGGGGCCAGTTCTATGGGGGTTGTGACCCAAAGCAGCATGAGTCACAACAGCCTGACCAACGCAAAGTATGAGCTGTCAGCTTAGCTGGGTTTGGGTAGCGGCGGTTTGCAGGCTCAGGAGTTGAAGTCTTGGACCTTTCGGACCCTTCGGACAAAAAAGAAGGGCTTTCGACTTTGGGAGTCTTTAGCCTCACCGACTCGGAATGATCCTTGACAAAAATTCAACGATGCCCAAAGCAGAACTCTCGAGGAACAAGAAACCTCGGTTCTCTGTCCAGCTGTCCTTGCCTGGGCTGCGGTCCACCCAAGGCTCGTGCCAGCCTGCAGGCTGCAGGTACTTGGCTACTTGGCTGGGATTGAGGGGTTTAGGGTTGGATCCGCGAGGATTCAAGAGTTTCGGATTCAGATCTGTGCGGTTTTCTGGGTTTGCTGAGCCCGGGGGCCGAGGATGCCTTTTGCCGATTGCTTCTTGTCGACGTTACGGCACACAAGTTTGCACGGCATTGCGCGACGACCTTACAGACAGGTTACCAGATGCGTGCTCGACTGGTGACGTGCCGCCCCCTAAACCAGAAGAAACCCTGACCAAGAAAGGCACCGACGCTTTTAAGGCACTTGAACCCCAAGAGAAAGCCTCAACATCCCAAAGAAGCCCCCAAGAACACCCCCGTCCCAGTCCCAGTGACCAAATGGGGCCTGGAGGTCTCCAAGCCGCCGGATCGAAGCTCCAGTTGTTCTCGTACTGGTACTCCGTGAGGTAAACGTCCTGACGTTTTGGGATTGGGAGTGCATCAGGTTCGTTTAGTGTTCGCCGTTATGTTCGTCGGAAGTTGAGGAGGGCTCCCTGCCGCACTACCAAGCCAAGGTAGATTACTATAATGCGGTGCAGAACTATGATCACAAAGGTGCCGACGAAAATGACGATGTGGTCGTGGATGATGATGATGATGATGATGATGATGATGATGATGATGATGTTGGCCTCTACTCCCTGAAACTGGACAGCGGCCACGGCAATAAATCCTGGCTGGCCGAGACCATTTGTTCATCTTCTGTGTCTGCGATGGGCTCGAACCCGGGGCCATCTGTTCAATCTGAAGAAGTGGTGGACCCGACCTCTTGAAGCTTCCCGAAAGCAACGCCCAAAACCCCAAGCTTCAGACCACGGCCCCAAACCCCAAGCCCAAGACCCGAAGATCACACCACAAGCCTGCCTAAGCCCGAAATCCACACCGACCCATCTTGCCAATGCCTGTGGATTGAATGCCCGCTTGAACTTCGCAAGTCCTGAGCAGGGTTGGTCAGGAGTCGTCTTTGGGCTCTAGCGTCAGTGGGTTAGGGAGGGAATTTGCAGAGAGTGCATATGTGACTTCAGCCCCGTTTAAGTCAACCCAAACATGAGACCCACCACAACAGCTCCCAAACCCGACATCACAAAAGATTCCGGAAACACAATGAACACATCCGGCTTCAGCAGTTCCAAGTCTCCCGGGTGCAAAAGAACCAAATGGGCTTCATCTCAGTTTATAGTTCTGAATACAGTAAGATGCTATTGAAGCAGGAAGGATTTCAAGTGCCGTCCCGTGATATATCAAGATGGGGACCCGAATTTAGCACAGTCCACCAGATGCACTCCAAGAGTCTGTGGCGTGGCGCGAAGCTGACGCGCGTGGGGAGGGGGTGCCAGAACGGATCCTCCTGTGATGTTTGTGCGAGCTTCTTAAGTTCTAGAGTTGACGATAACTATCAGGATTATCACTGCAACGAAAAACAGCCACGTGATGGTGCTTTTGCAGCAATGCCCGCAGCAAAGCTACAACTGTCATTTTTACCACGGGGTCTTGTTTTTGTCTTGCCCACCGTTCTCACGACGAGCAACATACCAGTTTGCATATTTTCAAAATAATCTTACTTGCGAGGAGGTTTGGGGTTGAGGGTGCAGCGCTCAGGAATGAATTATAGAATCGCCCTTGGTTGGGCCCAGCGGTTCAGAGGGCTTGGCACTTCCTGTGGTTTTGAAAGGTTTCTGAGATTTTGCGGCGTGTACAAGACACACCGAGACTCGCAGGCTTGAAACCGTTTCACAGTTCGGGGGCCTTTTGGATTCTGTGCTGAGTGGCTCCGGAAGCCTGGAAGGCGCTGCTCAGGCGTGCGAGCCGGTTGGACTTTGGGGCTAAAGTTGAAGGCTTCAAGCGGCTCTGAATGCCCAGCCGGGAAACCCATAAAAAAAAAAAAAACTTTTTTTCAATCGAAAAAAAACTTTCAGCGAAAATCAAAAAAACTTTTTCACCAATCAAAAAAACTTGTTTTCCAATCAAAAAAAAACTTTCTCCATGTGTAGTATTAGTAGTAGTAGTAGTAGTAGTAGTAGTAGTAGTAGTAGTAGCAGTAGCAGTAGTAGTAGTAGTAGTAGTAGTAGTAGTAGTAGCAGTAGTAGTAGTAGTAGCAGTAGTAGCAGTAGTAGCAGTAGTAGTAGTAATAGTAATAGTAATAGTAATAGTAATAGTAATAGTAATAGTAATAGTAATAGTAATAGTAATAGTAATAGTACTAGTACTAGTACTAGTACTAGTACTAGTAATAGAAATAGTAATAGTAATAGTAATAGTAATAGTAATAGTAATAGTAATAGAAATAGAAATAGAAATAGAAATAGTAATAGTAATAGTAATAGTAATAGTAATAGAAATAGTAATAGTAATAGTAATAGTAATAGTAATAGTGATGGTAATAGTAATAATAATAATAGTAGTAGTAGTAGTAGTAGCAGTAGTAGTAGTAGTAGTAGTAGTAGTAATAGTAGTAATAGTAGTAGTAGCAGTAGCAGTAGCAGTAGTAGTAGTAGTAGTAGTAGTAGTAGTACGGCCTTCCTTCCTGTCTGCCTGCCTGCCTTCCTTCCTTGCTTCCTGCTTCCTTCCTTCCTTCCTTCCTCGCTCTTTCTCCCCGCCTTCCTTCCTTCCTTCCTTCCTGCCTTCCCTCCAGCCATCCTTCCTTGCTGCCTTTCTTCCTGCCTTCCCTCCTTCCTTCCTTCCTTCCTGTCGTGCTTCCTTTAATAAGGGAAAGTTTTTTTTTGATTGGAAAAAAATTTTGATTGAAAAAAAAATGATTGAAAAAAAGTTTTTTTTGATTGGCATCCCAGCCGGGACCCTAACCCTAAACCTGAATCCTGAAACGCCAAAGCCCGAAAACCTAGGCTGGAGCATCCTTCTTCGGCTCCACCGTGGCCTTGGCGCGTGGACGGATCAGAGCTGTCCGCTGTGGAGTGAGGTCTTCGTATTATCATACTCTACAGTCGACCTGACTTCGTAAGATCGGATGTTAGAAAGTCCAGAAGCGGCTGTACGGACACGCAACCTCATTACTTATTTTGCTATGTCAGCTCCCACCTCGGAAACCCCAAACCAAAAACTCGGAAGGGACACAGGGCTATATCAGTAGGCTTCCAAGGCTGCGGTGGGTCAGGACTCAGGGCTGAACAACTGAAGCCACCAAATAAATTCCAGAATCCAAAGCTCCGAGCCGGTAGAACTTTCAGACGCTCAGACGCTGGGCTCGAGTTAATTTTAGGACACGGGGATTCAGGACGCCACGATGTTGTGGGTTCGCTCCCTATGCTTTGTTGAACTCCCCTCCCCAGCCAGACAAATCCCTTGCAATCTCACAGTAAGTTTCATTCCTTAAAAAGTAAGCTGTGCAGCCTACAAGGCCCGAAGCCGACCACCCCAAGCATGACGTGGCTCCTCAAGAAAGTCGCAAGCTTTCAAGCTTGAAGCCCACGGCTTAAACCTCAACCTTAAACCCTCCGAGCCCACGAGCCTGCTGGTACGAACTAAGCCGCTTGACAACCTCCCCTAAGCAAGCCTACACCAAAACGCTCTGAGTCCGGAAGCTTGGACCCAGAGGTTCACACGGAAACCGTACAGCAGCAGAAACCTCAAACCCAAACCCAATCAGAATCGTACAGAATCGCGAATCACGAACCCACCACTTCACCCTACCATGCGAAACTCTTGCGGGCCCCGAACGTAGCGCAGCAGCGCGGTCGCGGCCTCCGGAGCCTCGCGGAGGACCTGCGCCATTGCGGGGCTTCGGGAGGGGCTTTGCGCCGAGCAGGCGTGTTGTTGCTTGTGTAGGCAAAGGCTCCTAGATCAACCTTTGAATCTGGGAGCAAAACAAACCAGAAGTCGACATAGAAACCCTAAAACCGCACGTCCTGAGCTTCCGAAATCCCACACCTTTAGACCCTTCACCCTAAGCCTAGAAAGACCCCCAACCCTCTAAACTCAAAGGTCTTCAACCCCCACTCAATTCCCAGTGTTGTGCCAACGGAGCTTCATGGCAGAAAAGAGCAGTAATGTGAACATGCATGGCAGGACTATTGGTCATGGCTCTAGGCTACTCCGACACATCGCTTTAACCCCGAGCCCACAAACCACAAAGACAACCAAACCCTACACTCTAAAACGATAGCCTAGACCGTAGACTCTGAGACTTCAATCCTTAGATGATACAGTCTCCAAACGACGTACCGGCTTTCGACCATGGAGCCGAAACATTGGTCTCCGTTGGTTTTGTTGGCGTGCGGGAGATTAGGAGTTAGTCTTTCGGGCTTGGGGGCTTACGGTCGAGGGCTCGAGGTGTGAGGTTGAAGGCTAAACTTCAAGATGCGGTGTCTACATCCCTATATCCAAAATCCTAGCCCGGATGGCTTGTTGGTCCTTTCGGCTTTACGGACGGAAGCACAACAAAGCTCGCTGGGCAAGCAACTGGTAAGGATGTCGCCAAAGAGACCCTAAAGTTTAGGACCCTCAGGATGTTGCTTGGACGCAGTCAGGTCTCAGGTTGGGGAGTTGCGGGCTCTAGGACTTGTGCCTTCCAGACTCGAAGCTTTTTGGGTGCGGCAACTAGATGCTCAGGTTGAAGGTCTTGGGCTCGTGCGGATGCTTGTGTACAAGGTTTGAGGCTTCACTTTCCTAAGCCCTGGCGATTGGTTGGGATCTCCCTGGCCTTGGCGATATCACTAATCTTGATGCTCTTGCCGATGTCGATGAGCTCATCCTACCAAAGCCATTTTGGCGGTAGGCGGCCGCAGGGTGTTTGAATAGTTTTATCCGGGAGCTTCAATGGTTTCCGGGTTGAGGTCTGTAGCCATTCTGGGGCTTCGGAATAAGAACGTGCAAACCCTGACGGGAGGTTCAGGTAACACGAGACATGGAACACCCTAATACACACGACAGTAAGATGAAGGGCAGCTGAAACACTCGCAGAAAAGGGCCATCATGTATACATGCACGCAAATCTGTCTGCTTGTGTCTGGATTTCTATCAGATTCGATCCGTGTGCAATATGTATGTGTATGTACGTATGTACGCATGCATGCATGGATGTATGCATGCATGTATGCACCCATGCATGTGTTTGCATTTACATGTATACGTACATGATGAAGAAGCGTCGCTTACGCATGTATATATATATATACACATACATATATTACCTTTGTATTTATGTAGATGCATATGCATGTGTGCAAATATATATATATATATATAGACACACACACACACGTGCGCAATCATATTGTCTCCTGCTGCAGGGGTGCAGGGTCTTCCCTCGTCTTGTCTAGTTATGGCACTGCATGACAGCAGCTTTGTTGCTACGACATGGCTCCGCTGAGGTCATTTGCTGACACAATCGGCACACGCCTAAACGACAAGCCATGCCCCTTTCCTGTACTGCTCCCCTTTCGGTTGGGACATGAGACACCTCAACGATCCTGGTCAAACTGCGGGGTTTCTGCGAGGTCGCTGGCACTTTGGTTCAAGTGTTCAGGTGCACAAGAGGTATCAGCAATGATGTCAACCGGGTGTCAAACCGACAGTCATCCAGCAACCTGTAATGGCAATATTTGCATTCAGACTCCTGCTTTCCTGAAGTGACCAGCCATGAAAGTCCGTCTCACAGAACAGCAGTAGTTGCACCGCAGGAAGCAGCCATGCTGCTATTCCCTGGTACTGCAAGAAACAATCTAAAATATGATATCTACCCTCCTGACGCTCTTCCTTTGGCAGACCCATGTCAAGGTCTAGGACCCATCCAAGAACTCTCCCAGCCCGGATCCGCAGACCTATCCTTGCTGTATGTATATGTGTATGCACATCTGCCTAAGCCCTACACAGTCTCAAGTAGGCCTCGTAGCTCTAATGTCAAAAACCGCACCTTCCACTGCTAACGGCTGAAATTTACGCAACCCAAATCAGGTCCTAAGCCTGCAAAGTGCTTAGGGACCCCGCCGTTGACAAAGCCCTGTCGCCTCGGTCTCATTCTTCATCCGCTCCAGGAACGACGGGAGGCATTGTGGACCTCAGCCAATGATCGTAGGACGCTATGCAACCCCAGTAGAACACTTGAAGATCCTAATAACAAGTGTCGCCTAGGGTTTAGGGTGCGGGACATCGCCGTCTTGCCAGCAGATATAGATGCGCTTTTCTTTTATTGGTGCTATAGTCCCTGAGGGTCTGCGGTTCGAAGGCTTCCAGCTCAGCTGGGTGCAGCTGGTCATAAACCCCCTTCATTCGTTGCAATGGTCTCTTCCTTTTCCTCTGAGATTGACGGGAGGTGAAGGCCAAGAACGACCTCTTTAAGGACGTCTGAAACTCTAAACCTTGGGTTGTTCCTGAAGTCCACGTCCGGGCTGTAATCCCCTATGACCTTGCACGATAGGAGCTACATGGAGCTTGTATCAGCAACAGCGGTCCGTCTTCGTAAGTTTTATGTCAGTAGACTCCAGTTTAAACCCTGTTCTAATTGTTCAGATCTCTGCGCCCCATCCTAATTGTGACTCCTTACCACCGTAAACAGGGAGAGTGGCAATGTTGGCAACAAAATCAACAGGTGTAGCAACAGGAATGACAACAATGATAGTACATTCACGCTGACGGTCATGATTGGCTGTTCCTCTGTGCCACCGTGGAGCACTCCGCAATGAAGATAGTGAGCGAAAGCCTCGGGGCTGCGGCAGCTGGAGATTCTTGGACCCGAAATCCTGAAGTATGCCTCAAGCCAAAGAAACCCCAGAACTGCTATCTGCACACCTCAGACATTGAAAGCAACAACACAGCATGACCTCTGCGACTCCGAAACATTAGAAGTTTCTCGTTTGTCTGTCTCCTGATAGCGGACTCGTGGCGATACTGTCTACTGAATGCAATCTCGATTACGTGTCCTCGATGGATGTCTTGTTACACAAAAGACACAAGCTCGCCAAGCGTTCAAAGATTGCATTTACCTTGTGAAGTTGCATAGCCTCCACCGCCCCAAGAACGTGTCTGCCTTCAAAATCGTAGTCCCCAACCAGTGTAATCTGAAAGATGCTCTCTCCTGCAACACACTTTCCCTCACCAGAAACTCACCACGAACCCTCGTATAGTTCCTGTGCCCTCCACAACTACATCTAGACTATGGCTTTAGAATTGGACATCATTACGAAGGGCTAGGCCAGTAAAGTGGTCCAACAGCTTAGTACGTGCTGGGTCTGCTGGGTGACTGTCGGCTCTGACAGCAGTTAATACTTGAGTCTTGAGGCTTGCAGTCTTTACAGTCCCTACTGCCATTCCAGGAACTTAACAAGGCGACCCCCGCAAGCGACAATATTTAGATGCTCAAGCACTTTCGACCCTTTTGCCATATTATATCAAAGGGCAGTTGCAAATAGCGCCGTGTAGGTTCCATACTTGTTGTAGCCCCTCGGAAAAAACATATGTAAACTCTTGTATAACCCGTGATAAGTGTTGCGAAGGTACGTCCGAAGCTGTAAAGTTTCACAGAAACGGTTCAGTGCGGGGTTTTGCAGAAAAGCATGGATAACCGGTGTCGATCTATATTTGTGTCTTCCTTGAGTATAAAACGCGGCCGGGTACGTTGCCCGGTGCTCGTGCTGTTGGAGACACCTAGGATTTATGAAAGGTCCGTTGACGAGGCCTCTAAACATCCCCTATGTGAACACCTTCTTGACATGAACGTCATAAACGCTGAACTTCGCACAAACCTTTAATACCCAAAGCCACAAACCCTTGACCATGCCCCCGCCCCTACCCACATCTCAAGCCCAAAAGCCTACATCCTGAACCCCAGCAAGGCATGGCAAGTACATCCAAAACCTTAAAACTTTAAGCTCTAAACCTTAAGGAGTTTTCTGGGGCACCCCGACAGGGTGAGCTCGGCGGCTTCGCTAAGATCGAACTCAGACATCTTGCCGCCTGCACGCCAATCGGGTGTCCAGATGTGTTGATCGCAGTCCTAGGAATTCTCAAATGATTTAGAGCTTACAGGAGTTGAGACGGGCCTGGTGGGATCAGCCTGTCTTCGGCGAATGTAGCCTCATTGAGTAATCATATCTCTTCTGTAAACCCCTGCGTGGGAGTTTAGGGGAACATGGTGATGTCCTCATTGTGCGAACTCCCAAAAGAGAGAACCTTGATCTGCAGATCTCCCTCGTACGAGTAGCCGCTGGATCCAGGATTAAGACAACAGCGTGGACGAACGGTCGTCACGCAAGTCTTTGAGCCTTATAAACCATGTTTGGCTTTTGTTTCGGGCTTTTTTGGTGGGTGTGCAGGGTTTCCGATCAAGACTTCTGAGTCTAGAGTTCGGGGCTTGAATTGAGGATGCTAGTTTTGCCATTCAATATGAGATTTTGGGTAAAGGAGGTTGGGTGTAGGATCTGGGCTGTTGGCAGCTTCTCCATCGGAAGCTGCCTTCTTCGAGTAGATCTGGCAAATCTACAACTCACATTCATGCATCTGAAGCTCACACTTTCATTACGTCGGAAGGCCCTACCCTTCCCCCGTGGCAGAAGCGAGTACCTTGTAAATCTGTGGTCTGTGGGTGTTAGGTACAGGAATGGAGATGCTGGGCCTTGTATTCCTTACCAGAATTACAAGAAGAGCTCTTGGGCAACACTGCCCGGCCTTTGCAGCCCAGCTCCAGAGGGAAGGGCACCTGCAGGCTTGACTTTTAGGACTCCGGAGTTCTGTTTCGGGCCATTAAGGGTTTATAGGTGTGCAAAGGGCAATCTCGCAGACATGCTGCTCAAGTGCCCAACCTCAAAGCACCAAACCCTCCGGCTGTGAAACCTAAACTCACCGAAAAATGAAACACGCCACAAAGCGTTGGATGTTGCCCGCAACTCTTTGGAGTGAAACGCCTTGGCAACGAGAACTCGCACACGTTCCCGCAAAAGCTTCCCTATCGAGAAGACTATTATGTCCAGATTCTGGACATCCTCGCTCATTTTCATAAAATGCGCGTCACCCCGGTTGATGAACGATCCCCTTCAAGCCAGTAGAAAACACAAGGTGTACCCTCCACTTGTTGCAAGACAGGAAACTGGAGTCGAAACCGAAGCTCGGCAGTCTGAGAAGACGGCCGGCTCGAGTTCTTAGGGCTCTTTTGCACCCTGGAGCAATCACTTCCGCAAGGGTGCGAAAGCGGACAGGGAAGCTCGGCTTGAATCCGGGGGCCGGAAAATGAACCCAGGCCTGAGGTCAAATAAATCGACCTGACAAAAACGAAGCCCGCGTGGGAAGAAGAGCCAGCATTCTGCGGAACAGGTTTTGGGTTGGGTTGCTCATTATTGAGGCTCCTATAGGAATTCTGGGCTGCCTTCTGGAAGCTCCCACCCTTGGACTAGAATCTGAACCCTTCCGCTTCAGAAACCCAGAGCAAAAGTCGCTAAACCCAACTGCCTGCCGTGGCTTCGCATCGTTGGGAGCCTGGCAACAGGAACAGGACATGTCGGGTTACAGCGTTCCAGTGTGTTTCGGGCACTTCAAGGCATTTTGCAGTAGTAGAAGAAGCAAGAGCAGGAGAAGGAGCAATTGGCAGTTAGCAGTGAGCTGCGGGCAGTTAGGAGTCAGGAGTAAGAGGAGTAGGAGTAGGAGCCGGAGCAGGAGTAGGAGAAGGAGTAGTGGGAGTAATGGGAGTAGTGGGAGTAGTGGGAGTAGTGGGAGTAGTGGGAGTAGTCGTAGTCGTAGTAGTCGTAGTAGTCGTAGTAGTAGCAGCAGTAGTAGTAGTAGTAGTAGTAGTAGTAGTAGTCCGGGTTGGCTTCACTCTCGTCCTGATGCCGGAAGTTGTGCCTTTCGGCAACCCTTCTCGTAGTTCCGGTAGCAACAACGATCAGAATGATCAGACATGTCCAGGCCGAACAATTAACTGCCAGACTTCTTCTTCTTCCTCCTCCTCCGGTTCCTTACTTTGCAGAGTCCTGATTATTCCTGTGTTGACGAGGGCTGGTGACGCTTGTCATTTATCCTCATGGTCATCACGACATGTTGGGGTCGTGGCTACGATGATGATGGCGACGGTGTTGCTGATGCAGACAAGATAAACACGACTGCTTCTGCCCGTGTGTTGCACAAGCAGAAGTGAGCCGCCGAAGCCCCAAGCCCTACGTCCTAAAGCTGCATAACGTCATCAACTTTTTTTAATAAAGCTGCATGCTATTGCATACTTAATGAGCTCAAGCCACAGGCCTGAAAGAACTCATAATCTCTGTCCGTGACCTCATGGAAGCAGGGATGATCCAAGGCAACAGGGTTCCAAAACTTAGGTTCAGGTTGTAGGATGTTTGGCCTTACGTGTGTGGGTTTTCCGGTGCTGAAAACCAAACTTACGGCAAGACGGGTGCTGCGAAGTCTTTGGCCTTTGAAAGCTGGGCTTTTCCTGCATCGGATACATGGAATCTGAACTGTTGGCACTCGGGTCTGCTTGCCTAAAGCCCCCAAGTCCAGCATCTTGCGAGGGCTTTTTGTGGTGTTGCAGCCTGCCAAGAGAAGATGGGGCAGCACAGCCTGAAGACCGACACGCGAAGCAGAGTTTACGAAAAGGCACAGAGGGTTTAATATCAGGCTTTAGGCTTAGGAGCTTTAGGATCGAGAGCAGCGGGCCCCAAAATTCCAACACCTTCGAGTAGCCCTCTGCAATAAGTTCCCTGTCGTGACGCCAGAGACCTACTCTTCCGGGGACACAACAAAAAGGGACCGTGGTGTACAGAACTCCCAACTTTTTCAAGGCACCTTGCTCTTCACCATCAAAGACCGCACAAGCTTGATCACGGGCACGATGCCTGAAGGCGAGACCAGAGCAGGGGCCAGGGGCGCTTGGGGGCCCAGGCCGGGGCCCCTTTCGGTCGAAACAGGTCCATAGAAGGGAGCCTTAAGGGAGCTGGCTTTGGGATCCGACTTCGTCCCAACATCACCAACTGTCTGCATTGGTCTCCCCGTTACGAACTCTGACGGCAATCTCAGCATGGCGTCAACCCCGAACACCAAGCTACCTAAAGCCATGCTAAATCTTCGCGACCCTGAAACCTGCACTGCATTCGACCCTCACATACAGTCATCCAAACACCCTGCAGCCAACCTGGAACGAACGCGATAAAGATTCTGACCACCACCTGACGATCCCAAACCATGTCCCTCCCTAAACCATTAGACCCGATGCCTTATATGCGCAGACCCCTTGAATCCCAAAGCCCTGCACCCCACATGAGAAAACTTGTACCAAACACGCGGAACCTAAACCTAATTATATAAGACTGACCTTGTCGTAGCCAAGGTTGGAACCCCGCAGAAGACGGCCTTGCTGAAACCTCTCGCCGTCACTGAGCCCGTAATGAAGCTGTAAACCCTGAAACCCCAATCACGGAAACCTGTAACTCCGAAGCTTGTCCTATGAACGCCATGATAGAACGCTGTGGTAGCCGGAGAAGCGAAGCCTGTTGTAGAGTCCAAACAAACCCTAGAACGAGCCCCATCCTGTCGTAGAGCCTCTTCATAGGCGGCCTTAGCCCTCAACCCGCTGGGTTCTAGGAACTTGAGCTTGAGGCTTGAGCCCTCTCCTTCCTGTCAGGGTCGCAGCACGGATCCTACGGCTCTGGGTATACAAGAACTAGGCGTGTTCAAATCATGTTAGCCAGTCGAGCTGCCAGTCTGAAAAGCGATGTGGATCGGAGCCTTTCCATCCTGGTTCCTGCGAAAAAGGTTTTGGGGCTTCATGGCTTTCGGCTTGGGGCTTTGGCGAGCTTGTCGTCTAGGGTTGCCTCTAGAAGTAGTTTTGGGATGTCGCGGATGTCAGGGTCAACGCCACGTTGGGCACCCTAGTGCAAAGCATGCAATATTTCGTACAGAACCATGCCCTTACACCCCGAAGACCTGCTAAACAAACTACACCCAACCGAGTCCTGCTCAGCTCTGCCCGAGCGTCGAAGAGATATTCGATCATCTCCTGGATGCATCTGTGTTTAGGGGCTTGAGGGTTTGGGGCTCGCTTGGTCAGAGTTGCAGAATGGCGTAGGAAGCATTGCACTGTGTTAAGGGCTTTCCAGGAGGAAGCGCCGCAGCCTGAACTAGTTCAAGAAATAGTTCTTGGACAACTCCGCATTGAAACGACTGCTGCTCTGTCTGTTTCAGTGGGCTGATCTTAGAATCCAAAACGTCTGCAACGGCACACAGGGATGTATCAGGTTCAGCTGTACTGTTTCTGATTGGTGTTCGCGGGGGTTTTGAGTTGAAGGGATCTAACAAGCGATGCTGAAGATGGCCCTACCGTCATTCTCAGCTTCGTCGTCGTCTGAGCGGATCCCTGGGCCGTCCTTCGTACCTCCGCGGCCCTCTGCAAAGAGGGCGGCATGGAGGACGTTGTAGTGCGGCTTGTGGTCGCCTCGACCAATGCAGAGGCTTGAAGGCTTCCGGGGTTCTCAGTGTACGCTTCCAGAGCCTTCAAGTCTGGGACTTGAGTCTTCTTTTTGTTGGCTCCGGGGTCAGGAGATGAAAGCTGCATGCTAAGGCAGCCTTGCAATACCATGGAATAACGGAGACGCTTCTGTAGATTGTCATGCCTCGTCAGTCACTGACGATGTGAATGACCTTAAATCCCAAGCCCCTGGAGCTTAAAATGAAGCTATGAAGCTCCAGCGTATTGTAGAATGATCCACACATGATACCCCGGGATGTCAACAGGTCAACTGCACCGGCTTTTGGGTTTTGAGTTTATGGTTCTCAGCTTCAGAGTTTGGAGACTTGTTGGCATTTGGGGTTCGGATTTCGGAGTTAAGGTTTTTGGGGTGAAGTTTCTGGGGATTCAGGGTTTGCGCCGAGGAACTGCTTGAAGGATTCCGGGCTGTAGGCAGGGCTGCAAGCAGGGCACACCACACTAAGTCTCCTCGTACAGTAAATAACTTCATGACTTGTCTTAGCCTTGCATTCCGAACTCTACGTCTGCCTGCCCCTGTCTGAGGCACAGCCTTTAACCCTCAGCCCTCAAAATCCCGAGAGGCAAATCCCGCCACAACGACACATTCACACACGGAGAACTGTGCATAAATACATCTAAGCATAATTACCTACCTACATACATGCATACATGCATACCTACATACATGCACACATACATGATGCATACATACATGCATACATGCACACAGACATACCGGCAAACAGGCAGACAGACGGACGGTTGGACAGACATACGCATGTATGCATGTACATATACATATACGTATATATATATATATATATATATATACACACACACATCGGGGTGGTGTGCATATATGTATACACACATACACATGTATAGTATATATGTATACGCACACGTACAGTACATGTACATGTAGATGTATATATTTATGCTTATGTATGTGTAAATATACATGCATATATGGGTGATGTATACATACATGCACATACCTACATATGTATGTATGTATGTATGCATACACACCACACAGACAGACAGACAGACAGATAGACAGACAGACAGGACAGGACAGGACAGGACAGGACAGGACAGGACAGGACAGGACAGGACAGGACAGGACAGGACAGGACAGGACAGGACAGGACAGGACAGGACAAGACAGACAGACAGAGAGACAGATATCACAGTCTGCCCGATACAGATGCTGACAGACCCCCCTCTGCTGGGATCTAGTAACTAGTAATTGCTTGCTGGCAGTGGAGCTTGGGCTTGAGAAACTGGCGGTTGACCGAGCTCCCCACGCGACACTTGAGCTTCCAAATCCGCGTTCTTTGCCAACAGCAGCCTTGGTTCTTGCATTTGGGGTGGGAACTACACCCCTAGGCTTTAAGCCTTTGAACCCCGAAGCGTCTTCCAGCCCTAGCAAGCCCTTCACTTGTTTTCCGAGAGAGATTGTTACCTTCCAGTACATGGTGCCCATACCCAAGCGGAGGCTGCTGGAAGTAAGCTGTTGGAAGTAAAAAGCCTAGCCCCGAAACCAAAAATCCCAAACCCTAAACCGTAAGACCCTTTGACCTGTTAGCCAGGCGGCTGAACTTTCGAGACGACAGCTGAGCCCGCAAACCCCGAACTATCAATCAACAAAAGCACCGTTGTAAACCCTGAGCATGCCTCAAGCCGAAACGCTGATCCCACGCATCCTGAGATCTGAATGTGAAGCTGCGGGATCTGCGCCCTACTGGAGGATCTGCCCAGGGCATGACTGGTCGGGTCGCTTCCGGGTTTCGGGAGAACCCTCAGCCCCAGAATGTCTTAACCCCGAGCCCTTACACCAATAACAGCCAACTGACAACTACAAGCTCTCAAACCCAACCCCGAACCTCCAAACCCTCGAGACCCGAAATGAAAGCCGAAGCGCTTTACCAATTCCACGTTGCCGCGGCTGGCTGCCAAGTGGATGGCCTCGCCACTGCCTTCCTGTGGCCGGTTTGGGCTGAGGGCCTCTGTCATTCAGAAGTCAGGGATCAGACTTATAGGCTGCCAAACGTGGGAATGTAGGGCGCAGGAGCTTTGGCCACAAAGTACAATCACATCTCTCTCCCGAGTATCCTCCTACACATTGCGATCAGCAATACGATGGTCATGATGATGGCTTCAGCGAAGTAGTCTGGCTGCACCAGAGTTATTTATATCTAACAAATTGAACCCTGTCTTTGCTCCAAGTTCGTACTCAACCCCAACCACATCCATGAATTCATCAAGATTTTGCACGGTTCAGCGTGGAAAACTTTGCAGGCTCAGGCCTGCTTCTGGCCGCGGAACTCTGTCTCGTAGCTAAAGCGTTCCTGGCAGCTGCAGGAAGCTGGCACAGGTGGCCAAGTACTCAGCCTTGTTTAGCGTTCAGAGTTTGTTCAGAGTTTAGGGTCAATTTGCTCAGGGTTCAGGGTTCGTTTAGGCCTTCAAGGAAGCATCTTGAACTTTAGCCTTGCAGGTTTACTCATATATTGGGTTACTAGGTGGGGATTTAAGCATTTCGCAGCTTCCGGAATTTATGATACGGCCTACATGTCTTCTACCTGCATAGCCTAAACTCTTAACTCTTAACCCTACGCTCCTTTTATCCAGACTGCGAAACGTTAAGCAAGATCCCAGCTCTCACTTGCCACGGTATGCCGCTATAAGACTCTAGCTCCCAACACACCCTAAACAAACCCTAGACCCTGAACCAACTCTAAATCAATAGCGAACCCTCAACCCTAAACAAACTTTTTAGATCCTGAACAAACCCGAAAGACAATAAATGAAGTCCAAACAAATCCTATACCCTCAGCAATGTCAAAATCTTACAAACGAAGACAAGAAGCTCTAAACCCTGAGCAGTGCCTGAACACTGCACAAACCCCAAACCCAGCAAAGCCTCAACCCTTAACAAACCGTGAACCTTAAACTTTAAACACACCTAATCCCTAAACAAAACTTACACCCTAAACGAACCCTAATACGTAAGAAGCCCTGAACCCCTTCGTTCGCTACCTGAGGCTAGCCGACCGGTTTTGGAAGATGTCTTCCTGCTCCAGCATCAAGAACTGTAACTTTCTGTCCAAAGGCCCAAAGTCTAAAGCTCTCTGAAACCCAGTCAACGCCGGCAGGCCCCCAAATCCTTTCGAGGAGCTGAGCCGAAAACCCAACATCAACGCCCTAGCTCGAGAAAAAAACTGCCGTCCATAATCCAAAGCCCTTCAGCCGACTTAGGCCTCAGAACTCAAATCCTGCACTCAGAAACTCCAAACTCGGGACCCCCCTGCTTTGGCCTTCACTAAGGCTGCAGAACCTTTCCTCAGGGCAGCCTGCATTCCAGATGGGGGTGAATTGCCCTTGAGGGGTTTAGGCTTTGTTGGGCGCAGGGGTCAAACGATCAAACTGTGTATGCTCGGATTAAGAGGATTGCAGCCCGGCGTCTAGGTAGGAATCAGAGAAAGCATTCATTCCGGATTTAGGGGTTGGGCCGTCTGCTCTTCTAGGGTCAAGCTGACCCCCTAAATTTCTGCAACTTCCGGCGGTCTGTTTCCAGCTTGAAAGTTGTTTGCAATTGCAGCTGAATGTCTCAGGCGTAGCCGTTTGGGCTCAAAGATTGAGTTAAGGATTCGAAAGATTAAAATTGTTTCGGTTCTCTTTAAACCACACCCTTAAACGGATCTTATTCTCATGGAAGGACCTGGAGCATCTAGTTGAGTTACTGCAAACAGCCTTAGCTTCTGAAGACCTGCGGACTTGTCCTGAAGGGCACTAAGTGGGCCCAGCCGCGCCCAATCTAGGTTTGAAGGCCCACTGCTCGTATCGAGTTTAGCAGTTTAGCTCATGGAAACGTTCAGCAACCACGACAACCGGAGCCCTCCAAACACAGTTTCCCCTAATTCAGCGAACTTTAACCCGCAATTCTAAACTACACCCAGGAATGAGGGTTCCTGGGGTATGCAGTTCCAGCATATTTCAGGCTTCAGGCTCTTCTTGTGTGTTGCCGGGCCTGAGTTCTCAAAGCCGTCCCTAAAATAAACCACAACCCCCAAACGCTGAGCCGCTTATTGCAAGAAGACTTTGGCAGAGGTATTCCAAACGCAGTCAAAGTCAAAGCATTCCATCCCAGATCCTGTTACTGTCACTCAGGTCCTCAAAGCCATAGAAGCTCAACCCAAATCATGGAATCCCGAGCCGAAAACATCCACGATGTGCTTGTTTATCCGCTTCCACGATAGTTTGAAGCAGGGCCAAGCAAGCCTGAACCTTAGCTGCCTAAGCCCCCCAACCCGCAACCCTGACCCTGACACCGTAACCCCGAGCCCTTGTACCAGAAACCTCCCCTCCCTACACACCGAAGCCAAAGTCTGAAAGCCTCGTTGACTCAACCTCAAACCTTGAGCCTTGAAGCTTCAACCCTACTTAGGCCCTCCCGGCCTGGGCACCCTCGAGGTCGTTCTCCAGGGCGGCCCTATGCAATGCATTGCCCCGGCAGGGCCGGCTATTCCACCTCGCGAGCAGAGCGAGCAGAGCGAGCAGAGCGAGGAGCCGCGCCACAGTTAAGGTTTAGGTTTGGGTCTGGTGCAGCTTGGGGGTGTGTCCTTCCAAGGAATCTCTGTTACCTCCCTGTTTTGTGTTTGGGACGCTGGAAGCATTTAAGGAATCTCAAGCTTTGACATGGTAGACTCCCGTCCTGATAAATCAGATGAACTCAGAGGCTATTTGGGCTCCATGCCAGCTTAGGACTTAGGAGAGGTCAGGCGCACTGCGGGCAGGCTGCATGAACTCCTCCATTCGGCTCGTCGGGGTGTCTGGAACGGCCTTAGAATCAATCCATGGAGTCGCTGCTTCGAGCGGTTAAGGGTGGTTTTCGGGTTGAAGGTTTAGGGGATGCTTAGCGGCCATTGCGTGGTCTCGGGGTTTTTATGTACTTTCTATCAAGACTTGGCGTTCAATGTAGGCGCGTAATCGGATGTTGATATTGGTGTTTAGTGGGTTGTGGAGGGCTTTAGAGGGATATACTATTGTGGGGGTTCCTTATTGTAATTATAGTAAAAAAAGGGGCCCCAAAACCCGATTCTAATTGTTAAGGCCCCTATGTTAGTGAACTTGAACCTGCCAGCGGCTGGTTCCAAGTTTGGCTTCGACTCAGGAGATTGTGCATTCAGGGCTTTCCATTGCGGGTTTTAGGGTCGTTCAGCGCTTCGCGGGCCAGCGGCGGAGCCTGGCTTCAGGCCGTTGAAGCATGTTTAGGTTGCATGGATATGGGATTCCTTTTTGCACACTGCTGCCCCAACTCCCCACTGTTGTTGAGCTTGAGCTCAGCCCCCAAGCGTAAATGTCTCCAAACGAACCCTGGGCCTGAACCTCAAAGGCCTAAGCACCCACCCTACTGCAAATCCCAAACCCTGCTGCCCAAAAGCCGCAAGCCTTGCGGAACATCCCCGCCTTGCTAGCCGGATGTACTCGGCGGGCATTTTCGTTGCTACCCGGACAGCAGGAAAGAGGAGCAGCGGAACCCGTGGAAGACCCAAACCAAAACCAGAACCCTGGTGCTAGACCATGAAGCACCTCGGCCCCAAATGCCCAACTTTGAACGCCGACCCCCAAACCTTGGTCTCCCTAACCCTAAAAGACATCGAATGGACTCTCCGGACTTCCCCAGCGCTTTCCATCCCTTTGGCCAGGCCACTTCAGAATCAGACCTTCGGCAGCACAGACAAATCATTTCGGAAATCGTAGCAACGATGCCGTCCAAATACACACTCCTCGTAGTTGTCAACATATCGTTGTTTCGGCTGCGAAGACTACGAGGATGTCGACTACTAGCGCTGCTGCTCTAGCAGCAGGAGCAGTCGTTGTGGTGGTGCTGGGTGGGTGGTGGCAGCAGTGGTAGTAGTCGTGGTTGTGGCGGGTAGCAGTAGTGGTAGCCGTGGCCGTCGTCGTTGTTGTTGTTGCTGCTGCTGTTGTTGTTGTTGCTGTTGCTGTTGCCGTTGCCGTTGCCGTTGCCGTTGCCGCCGTTGTTGTTGTTGTTGTTGTTGTTGTTGGCGTTAGTGTTGTTAGTTGATGTTGTGGTGGTAGCCGTAATCGTCAACGTCGTCACAGTCGCAGTCGCGGTAGTAGCAGTCGCAGTCGTCGCAGTCGAAGCAGTCGTCGCAGTCGCAGTTGCAGCCGAGCCACAGCCCCACCCGCAGACGCAGGCAGTCGTCATCGTGGCAGTGGCAGTGGTCGTCATCGTCGTAGTAGTAGAAGCGGCAGCCCGCTAGTAGTTTAGCATACTGTCTAACCCCACCACGTCTTTCAAGGAGGAGAACTCCGCTCCCTGCAACCCCACATCCTGTGAAGCCTGAAAGTTCTTGTGAGACAATATACAAGTCAAAGCTCCCCATTCCTGGACTGGAACACTCGCAAAGCCAAACACCGAAACTAAAGTCTACCCATCACACCCGGGGGTTAAAGTCCTGGGACTTAAGGTGCACTTCTGGGGCCGCGCCCTCCACCACAAGCCCTCCGACTTTTTCATCTAATGATCTGATCTGAATTCGAGTTATGAGTTGTGTTGCGTAGGGTTTTAGTGCACTTGGAGACTGAACGACTGCCGGACCGGACCTGCCGGGACTTTGGGGACTTGAGGACCTGGGCCCTGGCACCATTTGGAGTCCAGATAAATCCTGTAGGGTTCCATAAAGGGATCTATAAGGGCACTATAAGGGTAGTCTCTTGTAGGGTTCCTTAGGATCTAGTCCAGATCTCACGATTGAGACGGCTTCTATAGGATCTGGTTTCGGAGTGGTGGGGTGCAATCTTTCTTGGAAGTACTTGCAGGAGAGACTGAACAGCCTTTCTTGGGCCTTTCGGGCTCAGTGCTCAGGTCTCTAAACCTCCGACTGGACACGAGACCCACGCGATTCGACATCCTCCAGGGAGCATCAAAGAACTTCGTAAGCAGGGCTACCCGGCACCCCGGTCCCTTGACCCCCAAGCTAGAGACCAGGTCATCATAGCGAAACAGCAGCATACTTCTCATCCGCAAGAGTACCAAATTTACAGTAGAAAATCGCTACAAGTAGCAGGGACATGGCCGAGAGGCGTCCTGTTGACTGCCAGATCCCTGATGTTGCCTGAAGCGGCCGTCGAGCTTTGCTTTGGGGCTCTCAGGACCTGAAGCCCCAACCACCCCCCCCAACACCAAATGTAAACAAAAGCCCAACACCCAACACACCCCATCTCACGAATTGTGACCAACGCCTGGAGCCTTGGGCTCTGAATCTCAATCGAACATGCACCGTGACACCCAACTGTTAAAAGCCACAAACTCTGCTACAACTCTGTCGTATTGGCTCAATGAAAGAGAAGCCAAGCCCCAATGTCATGAACACCGTAGCAACACTTACAGTAGTCCTGGTACTGATGGATATCTGACAGGGGCTTATGACAACATCTTCGAAGCAACATACTCGGAGATTCTGCGGCCCGAACACCCTGCCATGAAAGCACTCAGCTCTGGCTTTTGGAAGTCAGACGCCCTCAACCCTGCGAACTTCAGAGTGTCTTAAGCACCTGCACAACCTTGACATCCTGAAACCCCCCCTCCCCTCCGGGGCTCCTTGGCCAGAAGCCATGTACGAGCCGCCGCAAAACAGTAGGCTGTTTAGGGGAAATCCCACTTGTTGTTGAAGGAGATCGTCGTGGCTTTAGCAATCGAAACCTCAAAAGCAACTACTATGGTACTACTAGCAGCGGAGTAACAGAACTAGCAGTCGTCATAGTTCGTCACTGCAGTGAGAATAGTAGTTCGTTCTGTTCATTAACATCAGCTTTGCTAGGTCCCAGGTGTACTGCTCTGATTTTTGGCAGCCCAAAAGACTCGACCAAAACGTGAAACCTAAGCTTGGAGCCATGACTTCTCTACCATAAGTGGAGCCTTCTACACGCTCTTGAGCAAGGGCGTTGGGCGCGGTTTCGTGGCGTGTCGTGCTCGGAAGAGCGGCAAGAACGTGTCGAAGCTTGTGATGCACTAAACAAGACTTGCAAGGCAGTGCTACTCACCTTGTAAGACTGCTGTGAGAACTAGTGATAGCAGCTGCGGCCAACTATGAGAATGGTCGTGACAAACATGCCTATACTCAAGACAAACAAGAGTTTTTGCATGACCACTAAAACCGATAAGACTAACGGTAGGCCGGTAGGCATTATAGTTTTGCACGCAGTCCAGCACTAGCAATTACAGGAATGGTGTCCTGGCCGTTTACCCTAAGCCCTGACCTCAAGTCTCACACTAGCCCGTATGCTCCAAACCCTGACCTTGTCACCCCAGACTCAAAATCATTCCCAAGCTCCTATAATGAAGGAGTCCCTACTTTTACCACACCGATGGCCAAGGAGCTCAATCCGCAGAACGGGGTCGTTGAGGCGTAGGAGTCGCTGCATGGGATCGAGATGTGCCTTGAGTGCATGATCAGAGCCGTACTTACATAGGCTTGGTTTAGTGCAGTACAGAATAGCCATATACGTTTTTTCAACCGCTGTAGAGTTTGTGTCATTTCGCGTCGAACCCGATGCATGTGCTTGCAGGATTTTTCATCGGCCTGCACAAAGATGCCAAGTTACGGGGTGTAAACTAACATCGTCTCTGTACATTTAAACACTCAACCCCAGACCCCAGGAAAACAATGAGCTCGGTACAGCATCCCCACTACACAAGTGGCAGTGACATGCTCATATGATTCAGTTAACGATGGGGTCGGGGGAGAGTGCGGAGCATAGTGCTATGATGGGAAATCGAACACTCTTCCGAGAAGCATCCTTGTCAATTTACACCAGAAGAAACAGCCCTCTCGAACAAGAAGCAAATCTTCAGATATCCAGGCTTTGACGAGGCCCAGGCCAAGGGAGGCGTGCCATAGACCATCTGATAGAGGATGATGCCCAAAGACCTGGGTCCGAAGTAATGCCCAAAACAAGTCTAAGCCCTTCAGCCTGAAGAATGCGAAACCGTATTAGCCCTAAAAGGCCTAATGCCAGGCCGAAAAGTTTTACGACCTGTTCTGTGAGGCCGCGGGGGCTTACCAGCTCGGGTGGCTCCAAGCCACACCTCTGACCTAAATGATTACTCAAGGGAGCTTCTGACTTCCAGGTCGAAGGCTAACTTGCAGCCCACAAGACCTGCATTTTCTAATGGGCCTTATGCTGCTTGTTCCAAGTAGAAGGCGAACACCGGTCAGCCATCCCGAACATCTCCGAACGCCGTCCCGAAACCTTAACGCCGTCACCCTAAAGCCATACGCATAAACCTCAGCCTGAAAAGCGAACTCCACCTTCCTTGCTGGGCGTCGGGCCAAATGTCAGAGGCCCTGCCGAGCTTCAGCCTTAGCACTTCGGGGCTTCGGGGCTTTGGCAAGCCTCATGGATGGTGGCTTAGCCTTGACCCGCCTCTGACGGAAGATATGTCACGAGGGCTACGACGACAAAAACAACGGCGACTACTGCTACTGCTACTGCCACTTGTGCTCCTACGACTTGTCCGTCGGCAGTGCTGGGGACGGGACTGCCCCTGCTTGACGGCCTCTGGCGCCATGTAGCTAAGCGTCCCTACCTGGGCGATCTGCAATCTGGGATTTTAGGAGCTTCCGCGTCAGGGATTTCATGTTGGGTGAGGGACCTACTTTGCTGCCTTGTTCTCTTCACGATACTGCTGAAGCCTCGTGAAGAAATCCGTGGCTCCAAATCCATATCAAAGTTCTGTTTCGAAACAGGGTTTGCCGTGAAGTTTCTGCAACTGCATGGAAGTCGAGCCCAGGTTTAACAGCAAGAACAACAAGCCAGCATCAAGGGAACTACATCCATACACAGGCACGCGGTCTGTTCCTAAATCAAACTGCTTTGAAGTTTTCTAGGGCCCTTGCGGAGGTGTCCCGTTGAATGTTGGTGGTGTCGTTGGAGATTCGCTTGGCGATCCCGAAGTCGATCACCTGTTGGGGTTTGGATGTTTGCTTGAAGCTGCCGAGTATTGTGCTGGGTTCTAATTAAGGAACTGTGGTGAAGATACCACAATCGGGACATACAGTACACAGTGCGGGCTCTTTCATGTAAGAGGGTAGCACAATCCTCTACAACCCCATGCTAAAAGCAGACTGTTTCGGCTATGAGCACCAGTATAGATTGTTATATGTACCACAAAACGCCAACAATCGATCATCGCTCTGAAGGAGGATGCCCATGCTCCAGACATTGTATCCAAGCCAAGTGGTGCCCGGAAAGCTTTCTAGCCTTGCCAAGATGGTGGGGAGGTGCAACACGACGCTGCGCGCCTTCAAGCGGCCGCTGATCAGGAGGAAGTTGCCGGGCTTGAGGTCCTCAGAAAAGGGCAAACATCAAGGGTTTGCCCAGTCACAGTCGCCTACTTGGAAGAGAGGGAAGAGAGCGGAAGTCTGGCCTGACTTCTACTTCTATGCCATCTCGAGCTATACCTCGCGACTTGTGAACTTAATCGTGTTCTCGAACCTATTGTAGATCCAAAACCTTAACGTTCACTGGCATAACGTCGGGGTAAGGGGGTCATGGACACTTTAGGCTTTTCCAGGTTCTGCTACATCATCCCCGGCAAAGGAAGCTCTCTTATGCCCTGAATCCCCCGAGTCACACTTTTGAGCTGAGCTTAGGGGTTCAGGGTTTATCAAAGTCCCGAGGCCCTAAAGCCGTATATCCACGCGACTTCGGTCGTGCTGGCATAGCAAAGCGCTCATCATCAACCAGGGATTGCTACTGTAATTCATAATCGGATTGTTGTAGGGCTCAGGGCCCTGAGCCATCCTTGAATAGTCAACACAAGACCATTGATTCCTCCGCTCGTAAGCTCGGTGTCTCTTTGACTAACGCGTGGCGTAAAATCTGAGGGGACATCCTTCAGAAGGGCTTGCAATTTGCAAGTTCGACACTCGCTGTCTGCAAAAAGACGAGTACACACATGGCGAGTCAGCTTGCCCAAATGAACACTGCCACAAAGCAGTCCACAAGGCCGAGACGTGCCGAGACGTCAAGACTTCTGATCGCTAACTCTGACTGCTTGTCATCACCGCTGAGCACGGGTGACAGGCACATTAGCCTCCCCTGCACTAAACCGTGCGGTGCTCAGTAAGGGCCCTGCTTGATGGACGAGTCCATGTAGCTGGGCTCCGAGTTCTCGACCTCCTTTCCAACGAAGCCGCCGACCTTTGGTGGCTGGGGAGCCGGGGGGATGTTGTACTTCTGGGCTGCGTTCTTCAAGACCGCACCGTAGTACACGATGCAGAAGCCGCAGAAAGCCCAGGCCAGTGGCTCAATGCCATAGAAGACATCGAAGTACTCCTTGCCTCGCATGCAGACGTGTTGCAGAAATGCCTTCGGCTCTTCAACCCTACCTAACCTCACGTGCACTGCTTCACGCGTAGTTGCTCGTATTACATGCAGCTAAAGGTGCCCTTGTAGACGAAGGCATCCGCGCCGGCCGGAATGGTGGCAATCACTGCTGCTCCGGTGGCTGTGGTCAGGGCATCACTGCGCGTGGCGGGCGCAGGCACGAATGCCAGGGAGCGGAGGAGGCAGCAGGCGGCTGCCGCCAGAAGGCACACAGCAGCGAGGCGAGCCATGTTGGGAGATCTCTGGCGAGGGCGAGGTGCTTCAAAATATGGCTGCAGCGACAAGGATGCCTTCTGCTCAACAAATCTGTGACAGGCATTCTAGCTCTCAATACGACCACTTGATGCGAGGGCAAAGGTGAGCCTGTCCTACGATGGTACAAAACCACTTACGTCAGACACTCACCTACGGCCCGCGTGCAGATTTACGTGATCCTGAACACAGGCACTCACATCTGCAGCATCTCCCTGCAGGCTCAGCAGTCTGCGGTAACGTGCAGCTATTGCGCAGCGTTTTTCACGAAGGCTGAATGCCCATGGTTCGAGAATCAGCCTCCCTAGCACAGATCAGGTTGTGAACGCTCAGTAAGGGCCCTGCTTGATGGACGAGTCCATGTAGCTGGGCTCCGAGTTCTCGACCTCCTTTCCAACGAAGCCGCCGACCTTTGGTGGCTGGGGAGCCGGGGGGATGTTGTACTTCTGGGCTGCGTTCTTCAAGACCGCACCGTAGTACACGATGCAGAAGCCGCAGAAAGCCCAGGCCAGTGGCTCAATGCCATAGAAGACATCGAAGTACTCCTTGCCTCGCATGCAGACGTGTTGCAGAAATGCCTTCGGCTCTTCAACCCTACCTAACATCACGTGCACTGCTTCACGCGTAGTTGCTCGTATTACATGCAGCTAAAGGTGCCCTTGTAGACGAAGGCATCCGCCCCGGCCGGAATGGTGGCAATCACTGCTGCTCCGGTGGCTGTGGTCAGGGCATCACTGCGCGTGGCGGGCGCAGGCACGAATGCCAGGGAGCGGAGGAGGCAGCAGGCGGCTGCCGCCAGAAGGCACACAGCAGCGAGGCGAGCCATGTTGGGAGATCTTTGCTGGCTAGGCGAAGCAGTAACAAAAACGCTAGGTGATCGATCCAGAACGCAGCGAGCGCGAGCAATGCCGCTTGCCTTCGCAACTGCTTGCCGGATTCAACAAGACTGAAGAAACAAACCACAGCTTGCACTGGCACAACCAGCGTTTGCATGCCAACTCCATCGGGTAACCTTTTTTCACGAAGGCTGAATGCCCATGGTTCGAGAATCAGCCTCCCTAACACAGATCAGGTTGTGAATGCTCAGTAAGGGCCCTGCTTGATGGACGAGTCCATGTAGCTGGGCTCCGAGTTCTCGACCTCCTTTCCAACGAAGCCGCCGACCTTTGGTGGCTGGGGAGCCGGGGGGATGTTGTACTTCTGGGCTGCGTTCTTCAAGACCGCACCGTAGTACACGATGCAGAAGCCGCAGAAAGCCCAGGCCAGTGGCTCAATGCCATAGAAGACATCGAAGTACTCCTTGCCTCGCATGCAGACGTGTTGCAGAAATGCCTTCGGCTCTTCAACCCTACCTAACATCACGTGCACTGCTTCACGCGTAGTTGCTCGTATTACATGCAGCTAAAGGTGCCCTTGTAGACGAAGGCATCCGCCCCGGCCGGAATGGTGGCAATCACTGCTGCTCCGGTGGCTGTGGTCAGGGCATCACTGCGCGTGGCGGGCGCAGGCACGAATGCCAGGGAGCGGAGGAGGCAGCAGGCGGCTGCCGCCAGAAGGCACACAGCAGCGAGGCGAGCCATGTTGGGAGATCTTTGCTGGCTAGGCGAAGCAGTAACAAAAACGCTAGGTGATCGATCCAGAACGCAGCGAGCGCGAGCAATGCCGCTTGCCTTCGCAACTGCTTGCCGGATTCAACAAGACTGAAGAAACAAACCACAGCTTGCACTGGCACAACCAGCGTTTGCATGCCAACTCCATCGGGTAACCTTTTTTCACGAAGGCTGAATGCCCATGGTTCGAGAATCAGCCTCCCTAACACAGATCAGGTTGTGAATGCTCAGTAAGGGCCCTGCTTGATGGACGAGTCCATGTAGCTGGGCTCCGAGTTCTCGACCTCCTTTCCAACGAAGCCGCCGACCTTTGGTGGCTGGGGAGCCGGGGGGATGTTGTACTTCTGGGCTGCGTTCTTCAAGACCGCACCGTAGTACACGATGCAGAAGCCGCAGAAAGCCCAGGCCAGTGGCTCAATGCCATAGAAGACATCGAAGTACTCCTTGCCTCGCATGCAGACGTGTTGCAGAAATGCCTTCGGCTCTTCAACCCTACCTAACATCACGTGCACTGCTTCACGCGTAGTTGCTCGTATTACATGCAGCTAAAGGTGCCCTTGTAGACGAAGGCATCCGCCCCGGCCGGAATGGTGGCAATCACTGCTGCTCCGGTGGCTGTGGTCAGGGCATCACTGCGCGTGGCGGGCGCAGGCACGAATGCCAGGGAGCGGAGGAGGCAGCAGGCGGCTGCCGCCAGAAGGCACACAGCAGCGAGGCGAGCCATGTTGGGAGATCTTTGCTGGCTAGGCGAAGCAGTAACAAAAAACGCTAGGTGATCGATCCAGAACGCAGCGAGCGCGAGCAATGCCGCTTGCCTTCGCAACTGCTTGCCGGATTCAACAAGACTGAAGAAACTTACCACAGCTTGCACTGGCACAACCAGCGTTTGCATGCCAACTCCATCGGGTAACCTTTTTTCACGAAGGCTGAATGCCCATGGTTCGAGAATCAGCCTCCCTAGCACAGATCAGGTTGTGAATGCTCAGTAAGGGCCCTGCTTGATGGACGAGTCCATGTAGCTGGGCTCCGAGTTCTCGACCTCCTTTCCAACGAAGCCGCCGACCTTTGGTGGCTGGGGAGCCGGGGGGATGTTGTACTTCTGGGCTGCGTTCTTCAAGACCGCACCGTAGTACACGATGCAGAAGCCGCAGAAAGCCCAGGCCAGTGGCTCAATGCCATAGAAGACATCGAAGTACTCCTTGCCTCGCATGCAGACGTGTTGCAGAAATGCATTCGGCTCTTCAACCCTACCTAACATCACGTGCACTGCTTCACGCGTAGTTGCTCGTATTACATGCAGCTACAGGTGCCCTTGTAGACGAAGGCATCCGCACCGGCCGGAATGGTGGCAATCACTGCTGCTCCGGTGGCTGTGGTCAGGGCATCACTGCGCGTGGCGGGCGCAGGCACGAATGCCAGGGAGCGGAGGAGGCAGCAGGCGGCTGCCGCCAGAAGGCACACAGCAGCGAGGCGAGCCATGTTGGGAGATCTTTGCTGGCTAGGCGAAGCAGTAACAAAAAACGCTAGGTGATCGATCCAGAACGCAGCGAGCGCGAGCAATGCCGCTTGCCTTCGCAACTGCTTGCCGGATTCAACAAGACTGAAGAAACTTACCACAGCTTGCACTGGCACAACCAGCGTTTGCATGCCAACTCCATCGGGTAACCTTTTTTCACGAAGGCTGAATGCCCATGGTTCGAGAATCAGCCTCCCTAGCACAGATCAGGTTGTGAACGCTCAGTACGGGCCCTGCTTGATGGACGAGTCCATGTAGCTGGGCTCCGAGTTCTCGACCTCCTTTCCAACGAAGCCGCCGACCTTTGGTGGCTGGGGAGCCGGGGGGATGTTGTACTTCTGGGCTGCGTTCTTCAAGACCGCACCGTAGTACACGATGCAGAAGCCGCAGAAAGCCCAGGCCAGTGGCTCAATGCCGTAGAAGACATCGAAGTACTCCTTGCCTCGCATGCAGACGTGTTGCAGAAATGCCTTCGGCTCTTCAACCCTACCTAACATCACGTGCACTGCTTCACGCGTAGTTGCTCGTATTACATGCAGCTAAAGGTGCCCTTGTAGACGAAGGCATCCGCCCCGGCCGGAATGGTGGCAATCACTGCTGCTCCGGTGGCTGTGGTCAGGGCATCACTGCGCGTGGCGGGCGCAGGCACGAATGCCAGGGAGCGGAGGAGGCAGCAGGCGGCTGCCGCCAGAAGGCACACAGCAGCGAGGCGAGCCATGTTGGGAGATCTTTGCTGGCTAGGCGAAGCAGTAACAAAAAACGCTAGGTGATCGATCCAGAACGCAGCGAGCGCGAGCAATGCCGCTTGCCTTCGCAACTGCTTGCGCGATTCACCGAGACTGAAACCACTTGTGGAGTAGTAGCTGTCGTAATAGCAGAAGCCGCGATAGCCATAGCTGCGACAGTGTCAGTAGCATCATAGTCTCATTAGTAACTAGTCGTTGCCGCAGATAGTAGTCGTCGTGGTGGTGGTGGTAGTAGTAGTAGTAGTAGTAAAAGTCGTAGTAGAAGTCGTAGTAGAAGTCGTAGTAGAAGTCGTAGTAGTAGTAGTAGTAGTTGTAGTAGTAGTAGTAGTAGTAGCAGTAGTAATCGTAGTAGTAGTAGTAGTAGTAGTAGTAGTAGTAGTAGTAGTAGTGGTAATAGCAGTAGCAGGCAAAAGTAGTAGGAGTAGGAGTAGTAGGAGTAGCAGGAGTAGCAGGAGTAGCAGCAGGAGCAGCAGTAGCAGCAGCAGCAGTAGCAGCAGCAACAGTAGCAGTAGGAGCAGCAGCAGTAGGAGTAGTGGTGGTGGTGGTGGTCGTGGCGGTGGTGGTGGTGGTCGTGGCGGTGGCGGTGGCGGTGGCGGTGGCGGTGGCGGTGGCGGTGGTGGTGGTGGTGGTGGTCCGCAGAACAAAGCAGTAGCTGTCGTCGTCGGCGTGGCGTCGTCGTCGCAGTACCCGTGTATTGCAAAGTATGATTATGATTGTTTCAAGTCATCAAGAGTAATATTTGTACTGGTACTACGACTTCTGCTATATCCACAAAAAACAGCGACAAGAATCACGTTCTCGGAACTCCAGAATACAATAATATCATCTGGCAAGGACAACAGATTCCTGGAACGCACACACCACACTTCTGCCAATCATCATGAAAGTGCCAAGCACAAAAGGATGGAGAAATGGGAGCACGATGCCCTGCAACCGTTTCTGCAAGCGCCCGGTTGTCTTTGCTGGCTTCACGAGCGCGTTTGCGCTAGAGCCACAAGATAAGCACTTACGGTATGCTTTTGGGGGGCGGTGACAAACGAGAGCCGACCTGCTCAGTAAGGGCCCTGCTTGATGGATGAGTCCATGTAGCTGGGCTCCGAATTCTCGACCTCCTTTCCGATGAAGCCACCGACCTATGGCAAGATTCCAGCAGTGAAGACATCTTGGCGAAAGTACGTGCTCGACCTGCTGCTGCCACTACGACTACTACAAATACTACTACGAAGACGACTACTCCAACCACTACCACTACCACTCCCACTGCACTGACACTGCCACTGCCACTGCCACTGCCACTGCCACTGCCATTACCACTACAACTACCACCACTACCACTACCACTACCGCTACCGCTGCCACTGCCACCACCATCTACCACTACCACTACCACTGCCACTGCCACTGCCAGTGCCACTGCCACTGCCACTGCCACTGCCAGTGCCACTGCCACTGCCACTGCCACTGCCACTTCCACTACCACTACTACTACTACTACTACTACTACTGCTACTACTACTACTACTGCTACTACTGCTACTGCTACTGCTACTGCTACTACTACTACTACTACTACTACTACGACTACTACTACTACTACTACTACTACTACTACTACTTCTACTTCTACTGCTGCTACTGCTACTACGACTACTACTGCTACTACTACTACTTCTACTATTACTACTACATGTACTACTAGTAGTACAGTAGTACTACTGCATGTTCCACTACTACCACTGCTACCACAATTACTACTACTACTACTACTACTGCTACTACTACTACTACTACTATTTTCAATTGGACGCCGTGCGAGCGGGCTCAGCATGTTGCGGGCGATTGCCGCATGTGCACTCACTGAAGTATGAAACTGACCCGGTGACCCTGTATGGTCTGAGATGTCTGCGAAGTGATCCAGATGTTAGTAGTTAGAGCTTTCTGGCTTACAATGTATGTACAAAGCAGCCGATCAGGTATCTGGGATTTTCACAGCGCAGCCTGCCTCCATGGTACAGAGAATGGATCAGGTGCCTGGAATCAAACACTGCTTGCTGTCTTGACTGCAGCTGACCGCACGTGGCACTTGAATCACCACTCTTGCATGTGGCCATTTTGCTCAGCGTGACGGCGGCGGCTGTTGTGCAAGAGAGCCATCAGCCTGCTGGTACAGGAAGAAAGGTGTGAAGAAGAATGATACACTGATACTGCTAGGCAGTGCCTCCTCCGCTTGCATAAAGTTTGGCAGCCATTGGCACCGGGTGAGAAATGTCGTCACTGGCGCCACTGTCGGCTTCCGCTGGAGCCGGAACCGGACCCTCTCTGCCACCATCGGCCGCCAGACCAGTCGGCTTCTGGCCATACCTCGCCATCTCGGTGGCGCTTGTCCGTCTGAGCAAACGGCTCATCTCCATGTCTTTTGTCCCGCTGTTCATTTGGCGGTGCCAAAGAAAGGTCGGGGTGTCACCCTTGTTGCGCTCAATGCGCAGCTTCCGCTGCACGCGGCCATCTTTTGGTTGGTAGAAAATGGCGCGATTCAGGCCACCACATTTGCGGCTAGTTTAGTCATAAATGCACTTGACCGTGGAGGCCACAATCCCGAAGTTGTCATCGGTCTCCAGTAGGGCATCCATTTCAGGCCGGCCCCACATCCTTTGGAAGAGGGAATGGACTATGACTATGCCATAGTAGACTGCGGTGGCCTTGAGCTCGACATAGCGGCTGTCCTTCCCGATGCAGAGCGTGAAAGGGCCAGTAGCCCCGACTAGAAGCTTTGCTTCTGTAATGTCCTGCCAAGTAGCAGTAGCATCTTTGTAAGTGGCAACCAGCTTCAGCTATGGGGGCAAAGATCCACGGAATGCGGCCCAGGACCGCGATCCGATTGCTCCACATGGTAACCTGCTCAGACGCAGTTAGACCTCCCGTAACAGCCGGCTCCTTCATGATGGAGATCGTAGCCAAGAAGGAGTGAAGCCACTCCAGCCTTTGATCTGACTGACAGACCTGGATGATCTGGTCGCCTGGAGGGGTTCTCGCTGTAGTCGAGGAGCTGCGTAGTCGTGACCGAACCTTGATATGGCCGCCCTGGAGGATGGCACGTCCACTCTCTCTCCTCTGGTGCGGGGTCATGTGGGACTGCAGGTGTTTGGGCGCTGGTGCTGCTGGCGTTGGCAGCAAAGCTGGCTCCAAAAAATGCGTGCTGTGCCGGTAGGCTGGGTCGCGGGAGTGGATGGGGTTCCAGCTGCAGCAGACTTTGCCCCATCCGTGGCGTTTTGCGTGCTGGGCCTGCAGTGGGGGTTGAGCACCGAGGCCGAGATCCTCGCCCAGCATGAGGAATATAAAGCTGCGAAAGCGGGGCGGACGAAGAGGAGATCCAGGAGGAACCGAGACCTCACACAACGCGCCGGGAGCCAATGCTCCCGAGCCCACCGGAACCTCTGCCGCGTCCCACGACGCCTGGGCCGCAGATTCCTCCACGGTGCCGTTGGCGGCACAAGCCGCGCGCTCCGCGCAGGCGGGATTGATCCCGTGCCACTCACCCACGGATGTTGCCGCAAACTCAGCCCTCTTAGAGGCCAAGCGGCTGCAAGATCGAGCCAGAGCAGAACACAGAGCCAAAGCTGGCATCGTTCTAGCTCCGAAGCAGGAAGTGAAAGAGGAGGCGGCGAGCGGCGGAATGCAGATCAATACCCGCCGGAGCCCGAGTGATCCTATGGCGCCTGCACCCGCTGCTCCTGCCGCTGACTGCGGCAGAAACGCCGACGCTAAAGCGGTGAGACGGATGGCGAAGCGGCTCAGGCTGGGCGTACCCCAGCCAGCCGTGCTGACATGGCCGGTGACGGACCGAATCCGCCGTGGTACGGACTGGCGGCGGCGGCGATGTTTACAGGGGCGACTTACGACGCCTACTTCACAATCGTCCGCCCCGCCAGCGAAGTCATCGTAGACTCCGTCTCAGTGGAACTCGGACGGAGTTCCACAGCCGTGATCCGGACAAGCAGCACGATCATCGCGGCACTGATTGCGACGGGGGCTTTTACCCTCGTCGCCAGCTTGAGCCTATGGCTATAGGCCCCAAGCTGTACCTCCGCCTTTGTGGAGCTGAGCCCGAGGCCAACGTCTCGAGAGCTCCAGGGCTGCCGCCACCTTCAATGCGCCCGCCGCGTCTTCGAGGCCAGCTGGTTCAGGGTCGGTTCTTTTGAACACGGACTTACGGACTTAGGCCTTTCGGCTCGGTTTCTTGAGAGTGGGCTTAGGTTGGCTAGCCTTAGTGAGGGAGAAAAGAGAGAGGGTCTTATAATATCCTCACCCGGGTCTTGGACCGTGCAGAAACCGACCTTTGCAGCTCGTCGGGCTCAATCCCACGGGCCGGGCGTTGGTGCACCAGCTCTGCTCCTCACGTGGCCTCTCCCACGATACGTCGGAGGATAAAAAACATATGTTGATTCAGCGGAAGGCCGCAGCTCCGCTCTCGTCTGGTGCTGAGGCTCCTAGCTGCGCTAGCTTTGTCCCCAGTGCGGAGTGCGCCGGATCTTCGGGTGGTCAAGGAGTCCGCCAACGATGACGGCACTACAGAGCCTGGTGACACGTCATGTCGCAGTATGATGAGCGCTGCCACAGTGGCGGCGAGCATTTCGAACTTGCGTTACTGCGAAAGGAATGCCAGGATCTCAGAAGGCAGTTGAACTTCAGCACCCAGCGGGAGCAAGGGCTGTCTGCTCAGCTGCGAGCACAACATGTGTTGAGACAGAGCCGTAACAATCTTACACGCCTGCCCCAACCGCGTCCGGGAAGCAGGTCACGCTGCTTCCGGACTCTGCCTTTTGCAGCCGATGCTAGCAGAGGCCTCCGATGCCTTATGCGTCGAATTCCTCATGGCCGCTTTTACGTTCGACCATCCCCAAATCACCCAAAGCGCTGTGGATGCGCATGGGCGAGGGGCATTGGTGAGGCTGCTCGTGGAGACCTCCAGAAGGCACAAGCATGCAAAGAATCCGGCCGCGTCCTTCAGACGCTGGTGGATTCGGGCGTAGAGGTGCGTACCGTCCAAGGCCGTCCGTTGGCCGAGGTGTACGGTATAGGGGGGTTGGGGGATTTCGCGGCGCATTGCACGCCAAGACTGTGCATGAATCCGATGCCGTGCATCGGGAGCCGACCTGGCTGAGAGGGCGACCTGGCCCAAATCCTGGCAGCCCGTTGAGGGACAAGAGTTCCCTACCGCGGTCGTTCCGCGTGTTTTTAAGCTCAGTCACCACGCCGAGCTGCTCACGCCCTGCGCCTCGCCGCCTGAGTAGGTTAGAAAGCGCAGCCAAGGTCTCAAGCAAGGCAGGGCTGAAGTGAACCAGCAAAGCAGACCCAAGCACTTCTCTAGCTCTTTGCGCTTGACGACTGCTAGCGGCACACAAAGTGGGGCCAGCATTTCCATCAAGCGCTTGCGCTTGTCGAGTGGCAAACTGGCTGTGGGGCAAGACTCCAGAAAGATTTCCCAACCGATCCACCGAGCGACGTACCCAAGCGAAGCTTTCGCCAACTCAAAGGTAGCCCGAGTGCTACGGCCAAGCATATCAACAAAGATGCACATAGAGGAGCTGCTGAGCGCGGGAACAAGGCAAAGTTGTCGTCCACATACACCGCCCAAAACTGACGCAAATGCAGCAGCTTGTGCCCTATCGTCACGAAGGTTCCTGCGGCACGAGACCACCAGTAGGCAGACCAGGCTCCTCCGAAATGGCAGGTCTTATACATGATCCAATGAGTCTCGCCTCTGCTGTCACAATGATTGCAAAGAGGGAGAAACCACAATCTTCCGGAGCTACCTTCACACGTTTGTGGGCCTTGGACACGTCCATGATGAAGCCTGTCCACAACGCCTCAGGGTCTCTGGACAAGAATTCGCAGACGTCCTCAAGGGAAGGCATCTCTATGCGCTCACCACAATTCGACAAAGGAGGTTTGCTCCAGACACTGTGCTATCACCCACCAAGCGCGGCGCTGCACCATCCTTTTTCACAAGGCCAAGCCGCCCAGCCGCGCATGCTGCACCAAACCGCGCTCGAGCTTCAGCCAAACCACCCGGGAGCCACTCAGCAAACCCAAGATCAACATCCTCCTGCACCAGCTGCAACACGGTATCCGGGTCTTGACGTCCGGAGCTCCACGGCTCGTGCCAGGTAAGGAGGTCTACAGGAGGACTTTCCGGTACCTCCACCGGGCTCCAGGCCCCCGAAGCCGGAATAGTGTCACGGATGCCCGTGGGAACTCCGCACTCCAGCTGCGCTGGTAACTCCGCATTCACGTCATCGGACAAGAAGAGCATGCCGCGCAATTGGTCCAGCGCAAAGGGTTGGCCCGAAGGCACGGCAGATGAGCACTGCAGACCTTTACCACTCAGAAAAAGGCGCAAATCTTCGCGAAGATCAGCCACTTCTTTTTCACAAAGTAAAGGAACCTCACTGCTCAGCGCAACATGCCTGAAGAGGCGCGGAACCAAACCCCAATCGTGCACACGTCTCAACCATTGCTGACGCAGATCACCAAACATGTCCTCCGCAAACTCAAGGCGCCAGTCTGCGTCGGAGATTATGCCTGCACCATCCCGAAGACGGGTGAAATTGTCCTTCCGCGCGGTCTGCGCAAGTCCAGCTTGCCTGTCCAAGCGCGAGTCCTCCGCTGGACCCACAAGCCCTGCGGAGGTGCTCAGGACGCCTTCCCTTTCTGGCCTTTGCAGGTTCGGGAATCATGGGACGTGCTGCCGCACTTGGCGCATTGATATTTGTAGCGGCAGTGTGGATCGTCGCAGAGCCCGTCCATCCACAAGAAACACTCACCAGTACGTGGTTTCTTTCCCCCTGCCGTGCATGCCTTCTCTTGAGTGGTTCGCGGCCCTGCCTGGGCTCCTTTGGGGCTGGGACAACTTGGGAAGCTTGGGTTTTGCAACCAACAAGTGGCGCAGCAAGTCTCTGTCCACAGCCACCGTGGAAAAGGCATTGTCCAAGCTATTGCCGGCAAAACACAGCGCGAACACGTGTTGGAGCGCCGCCTTGTCTGCTTCCTCAGCCTCCTGCACAGAAGGCGGGCGGAAATGGTCCCCGGTCTGAGCAGAATAGAATTCCAGAAACTTAGCGATGTAAATACTCCAGCTGCCGAGGTGGCAAGCTCCGCAGATAGCAAACGCGTTGGCTCGAACCTGCAAAAGGCACTGAATCTTGTACGGGGAGGGAGACAACTCCAAGTCCCACTGTTCCACCTGCATGCCAGAGGCTGCCAACAGGTACTCGGCAATCGCGTCACGCTCACCATCTGACTTCTGCCCACGCGCAGCTGTAGCGGCCTTTTCACTGAGGATTTTTTTTCCGCGGTAGCCAGTCCCAGGTTTTCTGCACTGCCTGGGTGTGCACTAACTGAAGAAGGGACATTGCCGGAAGGCTAGTTGGCGTGACATAGGTGCTGGGATACTTCTTCTCGAACACGCGCTTGAGTCTGTCCCGATCCGACACTGTAAGGCGGCCAGTGCCCGAGGCAGGCAGTGAGAACTGCCAGGCAAAGCTAATGCCACATAGGCAACCGTAGCTTGCGGCGAAGGAGCAGTCTGAGGCGACTGCGGCAAACACTTGTTTGCAGGATGAACCATGACACATGTCAAGCTGCGTCTGCAATATGCAATAGCACCTGGCAACTTGGGCCATTACGCAGAGGCCTGTGGGAAGCAACCACTGTGACCGCACCGCTGATAACCCTGCAGGTACGGGTCCGCATGGACCAAAATATTCTGCGCCGATGGCATGTCACACGGACGGCAAGCCCTGCCCCAGCATCGATCCTTCCAACGCAAGTTGCCGCCAGCGGTGATTTCCACGGCCTTGTGGAAGATTCCTGAGAAGCTATTCAACACCCAACGTCCAACAACAGGCGCCCATCTTCCACGGCATCGAACTCAACCGCATCAGAGGCAACTTCGTCGTCTTCGTCGTCTGACTGCTGCAGCGCAGGCCCATCCACAGAGGACTCGTCCGAGGATTCCGAGTCGGTCGTGTCGGAATCTGACTGCGGCGGAATCAGCTTGGAGACCGCGGACGCATCTTCCTGGATACCAGAAACTCCGCGCTGTAGCGGTGTCACCGGCAGCCAGCCGCGCCAGATGGCACTTAACAGCCGCTTCTGGCAGCGGAGCTGTGGTAAGACGTCATCACGGCCATACTTGTGAGCTGACTTGTGAGAGGGCTTGTGATGACCCTGTGCAATCCTCCAGCACTCCTTCACGTCGAGCTGCAGGGCCCACGAAAGTGTCGTGGCCGTGCAGGAGTGCAGAGAAAAGCGGCATGCCTGCTCGGCAGAGAGCGAGCAGTACTGAACCAAGCAGCGTCGAAACTGTGCTAGCATGCCCGCATACTGCATGGGTTTGCCGCTGCTGGCCACTAAGAAGTCTCGATCAGGCTGTTCGGACTGCAGGCGAGAAAGAAAAGAACTTGACCAAATCGGACACCCCACGCAGCCCGAGTAGCCCCACAAGCTAAAACGCCAAAAGGAAAGCCACACGCTGAAGTCTTGCTGCGCCAAGTCCATGCTCTTATTGAGTCCTTATCCTGAAACAAGGACGAGAACTTCAGCCGTTGAACATCTGACCAACG